GAATATTTTGATTCAACTGGCTTGGCGGCTGTAAGGCGGGCTTTTTGACCTAATTAAACCCGGCTCGCACCCAACGCAGTCTGCGTCTCTTCCCCGCGCGTGCTCTCTAACCATTATCTAGCCTTTATTAGGTCACGAAGCTCCACCTTTCAGCCGCCAAGCCAGTTGAATCAATTAATTTGTTGCATACTCAGCTCTGTGTTATGGTACTTGCAAATTATGCAAAACTAACTAAACACAGCCACAGCTATTCTAGAAAACTTTGCATAGCTTCTTTTCAGGAAATGACTCGCTTTCCGCTCTGGTACAGCGTGAAGCCTTCGCCGTTGAAAAACAGAAACGAAATTTTATGCTTGCATAAACTGGCTCAAACTCACTGTCAATCCAATATGTCCCAGAAGGGGAATAGAGAATACATATTGAGAAGGGATTTTAGGTAAATTCGTTTTATTTGTAAATATCTAATCAATCAGTTGCAGTTCCTTCGCCAAAAGTAAAACCAAATCAAAGTGGTGCTGTGAAAATTGTCGAAAAAAAATCAAAATGCTGCTGTGAAAGTTGTTGAAAAAGCTGCTAAAGCAGCTGGAGAGTCGGAACGCACTTGAGAACAAGACCAGTTTTCTCTGCTGGAAATTTCACAAAGATGACATCATCAGGAAGCCAGTTGTTGTTGTTGTTGTTGTTTAGATTTCCCGCAGTAGACTAATACCCTTGAAATCGTTATGCTGTATGTCTTCTGTTATAATCCAAGAGGGATGCGGATCTGCTGCGTTTTTGTAGGTAGTCGTTAATTTTGTAGATAACGGCTATTTACATATACCTGCAAATCTGGATAATGCAGCTGTGCGGTGCTCACATCATTTCTGCGGTATTTACTTGCACATGAGAAAGAGACACTTCAAATTGTGGGCTCCACCAGCAAGGCATTCTATCAAGGAGTTCTTTTTACAACCGGCGTTCTACTACATCATTTGTGTACACAATGCTGTAAGTATTGCGGAGTAGATCTTTATTTATACCTTTGAATAACTTTTTTGTGATAAAGGCACTTTTGGATCCTGCTAATGATTACGGTTTTCGTGACACTAGCTCCGTGTTTATTCAGCAAGGTAAGCGCCAATTCTGTGGAGCAGGGAGAAGATGCGTTTCGAGTTTTCGATGTGTAAACACTTATATTTTTGCACATTTTCCGCAATGGTATTTTTGAAACACTGCGTGGTGCATTTTCACTTATCTGCTGCACGAGAATTTCTTTGCCACATTGCGGAAAAGGAAGAAAAATGAAATTCGAGGAAGAGTTATTCAAAGACAATTACCAGCACAAGTGGATACCTACCTCATCACGTCAAAAGATTTAGCTGCTTGGACTGACAATAATGTCCGATGAGTACCTTGACCCTCAAAAGAAATTTCCACTTAGACCGTATGCAGGTACATCCCCGCGAGGAGGGGAGGGCATTTGAGAGGAGAAGCGTCATATCTTGCTACTCCAGGAGCCGTACGCATTAACGTCCCCGCTGGGAGGGGATCGCAGCTTACAAAGAAAGTTTCATATCCTGAATTCCAAACTTTTGGATTTCGCTGTCTACCTATCCGTAAGTATTCCTACATCCTTCACTATGAACATATTGAGCAGAGAGTTTGTACAAGCCGCATCTCCTAGCATTTTGTATGATCCCCTGACGATCCCCGGCGGTCGACCGTCTTTTCTTCGAAGTCATTTTTTTTCTTCAGAGTTAGCGGAAACATTCCAAAGTTGTACTCGCCTAGCCTAAGAGTGCTAAGCATGTTGCTGATAAGAACAAATGATGTATTGGAATCATGAAATTTGCTATGAACCACAACTCGAATGTTGAGGTTTATCGAAAAATTCGATTTTTCGAAAACCCATCTGTTCTTATCAGCAACATGTTTAGCAGTGCTGTGTTAGATGTTCAGTACAACTTTGAAAGGTTTGCGTTAACTTCGCAGGAGGAGAAATGACTTTGAAGAAAAGACGCTCGGCCGCCGGGGATCATCAAGGGATCATGCAAAAGGCTGGAATATGGAGCATGTACAGCTTGTCGCTCCTGTTCGGTATGTTCATAGTGAAGGAAGGTAGGAATACTTACGGATAGGTATACAGCATGAAATCCAGATATCTGGAGTTTTAAGATATGAAGCTTTCTTTCTGAACTGCGATCTGCATTGTCTTTCTCGCAGTTGCAGCCAGGGTCAAGCGTGGCGTGCGGCACGCCACACCTGGGGGTCGTATTGAGGAGTCAAAAGGGGAGGGGGTCATATTTGGGTAATCTGATAATAGTGATAACATGATATTCGTATCATATCCATAATTAGCATGTCAATTAATCCCTGTAGACAAAGTGTGAGCGAATTCTGAAGATTCAAGATACTAGGCTACCTAAATGAAATGGTCAAATTCCAACATGGTTAACTTTGTTTCAAAGGTGAAATAGCTATCCGTTTTTGCACTCAAGACAAAGCACTACTCCTTCTTTGTCCACCTCAGGAATCCCGTTTCAGAAGACCTGCAAACTGTGGAATTAGAAGCCAACCAAAATCTCGTTTTTCCCATTTTTCGCTTTTGATCGCTGTGCTTTCACCAAATATTAACTTAGAGCTAAGAAGACAAATCAGGCTCCAAACAGTGCTTTGGAATCTACAAGGTTTAGGCTATCGATTCATATAAATACTGTCCGCTAAAAATGTTCTTTTGATATAGGCTGCCGCAGCTTTTAATGGGTGTGCCGCACCCCCTTAACTACCCTTCAAAATCCAGAAAGCGCTCCATTGCTGGTATGAGTATTGAGCACATAGCTTCTTCTTGCTACCTTGGAAATTTGGAGCCGTACGCCCCACCCATAAGAAAATTATGGCCCTTTCAATATGCCCATTCAGATCAAAATCAGCCGTCAAATTACGTGTGATTGTAAAGTGCAGTCACGGAAAATCGGGCGTACAGCTCTCAGAAATCTGAAAACTCTCTAGAAAAAGATGGTGTCCTCCAGAATGTCACACTTTGAGGTCCAGAGGTTAAGAGGAGGAAGAAGCGGTCGCTTGAGGGCTTTCACGGGAGGGGGGGGGGGGGGTTTCGAAAGACTTGTGCCTGACCTCTTTCTCAACTCTGGTAATGCTATCTTAGGTATACAGTTCAGGGGGGTCTTATTAAGACAGCAATCAGGGGGGGGGTTGTAACCAGCGATCGTGTGCCACACCCCTTGCTTGACCCTGGTTGCAGCTCGATACTAACGCGAAAAAAGAAATGCTCTATAATGCTTAGGCTGCAGTTCAAATCCAGCGAAGCCAAACGTCTTCTTGAAGGCTAAACCGAAAGCGAAACAAGATTTCTGAACACATCCATCTAGCCAGAGACCAACGGGTCAAGCAAACAGAATATGCATCTTACATATAAGTTGTCACCACTGACGTTCTTGATACCTATCATTGTTAAAAGCACAGGTTCGGCGTTGATTGCATCCATGACCATTTCAGCAAAAAGTCGGCTTAGCTTACCTGAAAAAGTTCTCATTTGAGCACAAACCCGGAACTAATGGTCTTGAAAGGGTTATGGTAGTTAGCTTACAATACTGCTCGAAAAGGCGCACTTGACCAGCATATCTCTTATCCATGTCACTTTTATTGATCGAAAAGAAACCAGATACGCATCAATGAAAGAGGGGGCTCCTTGGGTGGCCCAGCCCCACAGAACCATCTGCAATAAGTAATTCAATTAGGTGACAAAAACTCTATCAAACAGACGAAAACGGCAAAAAACGAATACATTTGTTTACAAAATTACGAATTGAAAGCGAATGAAAGCGCCATTTCCGCGTCGTCGTCCGCAACTGTGCACGACGCAATTTCGCAGACTCCGTCGACAAAGGTGCCGGCATGTGGACGTGGTAGGGGCACGTCCACATGCCGGCAGGTTGCACTCCACCAAAAACATATTATACTATTTCGTGCGCTCTTTGACCTGCCGGTAGGTTGAGGGCGAGATGGTATCTCAAATTTCGACGAAAAGAGATCGTGAACCTGCCGGTAGGTTTACACTTCGGGCCAAATAAATGGCAAACGAGGACATTTTTTGGATTTTCTTTCAATTCCGAAACTATTTCGACAGGAAACTAGACCGTAACACAAAAAAATAGATGATTAGCCTAGGTTGGGGGTCTTCGGAGGGAATTTGAGATTTTAGGGACCTCAAGTCCACATCAAGGGCGAGCTGAGGGCATGAGATCCCGGCAGGTAGGATGGATTACTACGGGCCCTGACAAAGCAGACCCTGCATAGCGGGACACATGCGAGGATAAAAAAATTAATTTTTTGATTTTTTGCAACACTTTACCTAAGGGGCTGGAAGTTGGTAGAGGAAGTAAGAGGGCTGCTGATTACGGAAACATAATTAGAAGTGGGGTCAGAAGCAGAGAATTGTGCAGAAAATCGGAAATAACAATCACCATGGTGTATTGAAAAGGCCGAGTAATACACCAGCTATGTAGTTCAAAATATATTGAGGTTAAAATCTTTAAATGCTCATATCCGTATTCACAACCTAAGGTGTGTAACTCAAGAGAGTAAGTACCTTGAGGTAGAGACACTCAAAAAACCGTTCACCGGTATTCGCGGACGTAACTCAAGGGCAAAATACACTTTACGGTAAAAATTAACCTCGAAATGCAGCGGCTTAAGATAATCCAAAGCTTTAACATAGTTAAATGCTAGGGTTGAATTCCCCTTGAATTTTACCCTAATCCCTTTGACAATAAACATACTCAGATGGTCGAAGGGTTACCTCCGGCGGGCAAATGGCGCTAGTCTGTCACTTCGCGCTTTGGAGCGGAGGCAGGCCTGGAGCAAAGCAGCGCCGCATTCTCTGCGGTATTCCTGAAGGCCAGTTGCGTTGCGTCGCCTTTAATTGCAGCCGCAGGAGTACGCCGCTCCTGACAACGAACTGAGCCATTCCCTATTGCTACGTCTTGAGAAGATGTCCAAATTGCATGAATGCAACAAAGGTATTTAAAATCGAAATAGATGGATTTTACGGATGCAAAGGCTGAATCTCGGATGAGAAGACTGATTTTAAGTGTAGCGCGAGAATTAGTAGAGAAAAGGTAGAGAAAATTTTCGTTACTGACTCTCCAAGCTTTTACTTTCTCTTGGGTGGTATTTTCAAACACTTCTTCCTCAGAATCTATTTTTTAATCCTCAAAATTCGTTTAACTTCCGCATTTTGGTCTCTTTACAGAAGAAGAATTTCGAGAATGACTCATCCGCTAGGTAACGCTGGCCCCTCTGCAGGTGCAATTAGGAGCGACACAACGCAAAGGGCCCTCAGGATATACCGCAGGCGAATGCGGCGTAGCTTTGCTCCATAACGCCAAGCCGCCCTCTGGAGCGCTCCGGAGCCCTGCCATTTCACTCATTTTGGTGCTCCGGGGCTCTCCCAAATCTGGCGCAGCTCCGGAGCAGAGATTTGCGCGACGGAGAGGGATCTGACGCCACCATGACGTCGCGATAATGTCACGGTGAACGAATGGGACCCCTCTCCGACGCGCAAATCTCTGCTCCGGAGCTGCGCCAGATTTGGGAGAGCCCCAGAGCACCAAAATGGGTGCAATGGCAGGGCTCCGGAGCGCTCCAGAGCGCGAAGTGGCAGACTCGCGCCATTTGCCCGCCGGAGGTATCTCCCCGACTGTCTGAGTAGGTTGTGCATTGTAAATATGGGTATGCCTTAAAGTTATAATCTAACGTTGAGGTAAGTGACTGATGTACAAGTTTACTGGATAAGTTGATCATGAGATATGTAGGTACTCATCTTTCATGGTGCCCTTATTATGTGCTTACGTACGAGGTGAAATGTGGAGGATTCAGTATTCGCAGGTTTTGCAGGTTCACACTACCATTTCTATTACGGTAACTATTTGATGTGAACGGTACATGCAATGGTTATAGACCTAATATTTTCTTTTTCACCTTCATAGCTTCTTATGATTTTCTTTTCCTTGCCGTTGACTGCAGTTCTAACCCATCACATGTCTTACTTCGATGCTACCCTTTGTAACCATACTCTTTGTGAGCAAAATCTCTCGGCAATGTTTTTGCGAGAACCGATTACAAGCTATTCAACATCAAGGCAATCTTTGAAATGATCTGTATCGATGCAGTTCGTTTCGCTGATAAACATGCCATGTTGTTTTGTTGAAGGCTAAGGATAGACAAAGACTTATGCGCTCGTCGATGTTGTAATGCGCCAGTGATGAAAGACGACTGGTTTCCTTATGTAAGTGAGTGTTTGTGTGACAGGTGTGCGTAGTAGAGAGTTCTCGATTGTCACACTCCTTACTTAACCCTGTTCGTTTGACTATGTATATAGAGTCCGTACGCGAATTGTTCGAATATGATACAGTCAGCTAGACGTGTTCGCTCTCCTATTCTGGACTGACTGTGGTGGATCTGTCTAATTTCACTTCTTTTCTTTTGCGGTCCTTGATGGTCGTCCTTACATGGCTAATATCTTGTAGACATTCAAAAAGAAGATAATAGCTTTAGAAACCTTCAAATCTTTCGGAATTTTTGCTCAATCATCCGTCATTGTCCTGAAAACTGTCTCCTTTCTTGACAGATTAACGAAGAATTTAGCTAGCAAATAAGTTTTTATCCAACATCATCGCTCGTTAACGTAAAGAAAAAACACCATAATACAGTCGAAAACCCTGTATGCCATTCTTATGCTGAGTATACCATTCTTTTGCTGTGTCCTTTGCTAGAACATCTTGAATCCTCTGGTTCAGTTATACCGCTATTGAATTGGACTTAAAAAGTTTAGATTAAAAGATTAAGAAGTCTCGGAAATAAACTTATCCAGTAATTTCAGTAATTTCAAACTTTCTTATATGTAACACCATGACTGCTATGAATTTTTATTTTGCCAACCTGACATTTTTGAGACTACGTAAATAGATAAGTTCAAGCAAATATGATTGGATGAGATGAAGAAAATCACCAAAGAATGTTCGAATCGTATTGCTATCGTACACACAGTACAGCGTCAACAGTGTTTACCTAAGTAGACTGTCATAAAAGAGTTTTCGTGTCCAGAATCTCCCACAAAACTTATTCTTAGCACAAGCCATATAAGAAGATGTTGGACAGAGGATCTTGTGCTCCAGTCACGTTCCGTTACATATACGTAGCTTCTGGATAGAATTGATATTGAAAATTTTTTTACGGCTTTCATAACAGATACGAATAAGGTTACTGATAGCTTTCTTACTTATGTATCTAACTTCTCCCCTGTGAATGCCAATATCATCGACATAACTTTTCAGAGCCAAGCACTCCTATAGCATGATGCTATACTTGCACAGTCTTTCAACTCCTTCTTTTTACAGATTCAAAAAGTATTTCGTTTGTAGCGCTCAATGTTTTACCAATTATTGGCACATGTTTGAGAAAATTTGCTTCGTTTCTTCTAAATGCCATACAATTTCAGTTTTTAATTATAAAAAAAAGTAGGCAACCGCTTCAACATTTATTCAAAGGGCTTCGTCTTTTTTATCGGCCAGCACATGGGAGTTTAGAGAAATATTATGTTTTCGATAAATAATCTGACTAATGGATAAGCTGAGGTTCAAAAATTATGTCCCTCTTCTTCTTTTTCGAATCTGCACACTGCACGTTTTGGAAGGGAGCGGCTCCGAATTCTAACATGGAGTAAGACCAACTTGTTATAATAATATTAATCTTTGAAGCATCATATTTACTTTATAAGTAAAAAAAACAAATACAAAGCCAAACCCTCTTGATGACGCCATTCCCCACTTTTCCTACAGCTGGTATACAATAAGAAGAAATTAAACAAGTATTAAAAATAACGAAACTCAGGAGTATCCAATTCCGTTTCATTCCTGCCACTAGATGGAAAAGGATAAGAGTACGATATCCCCCGAAAATCATTAGTAGTTAGGGAAAATCGGGAAAAAAGGGAAATTTTCTCTACTCCAATGCACAATCTCCGTTCTCCCTACCATCTCTACATTCTCCTATATAAAAAGCTTAAACGCTCTATACAGTTTTGTTTGTGCTATAACAAGTATTTATGTGTATTACAGATGTTGCTCGTATTGTTCGCAGTTGTTTCCGTTGCACTTGCCCAAAAGGAGTGTTTTCACGGTAAGTGCCAGTTCCGGAGTCATTACCTCTTGAACGACAACAACAACATCACAAGAAGTCCTTGAAAGAACGGCAACATAATGATTAAAACTAGTTTTTTCTAGGCAGAGACACAGGCATGAGTTGCGAAGAAGAAGGAGGACAAAGGTTTTTCTTCGATGATCATACGAAAAGATGTCAGCCATTTTACTATAAGGTGATGTGAATGGACTTGCGCTGTATTTGCTTTAATTTTAGCGAATCCTTCAATTTTAGGGCTGCGGAGGTAATGAAAATAGGTTCAAAACTCGGGAAGAGTGCCAGAAAAAGTGCGGAGATGTGAAATCTGAAAGCGCTACTGCTTTACATGGTAAGTGAAAGCTCTTTACAATACCTGAGGCTACAACTACATTCAAATGATCAAAATTGTACTATAATGAGGTTTTGCAAATATTTTTTAGCTGTTTGCAAATCTGGCGCCTTTGCCGCTGGCGCTACATCTCTTGCCAAGCCTCTATCTTGCGACCAATGTCCCAAAGGCTACCAGTGTGAAGGTGAACTCTGCTGCCCAAAGAAAGGTAAGAAAGAACTTATCCTGGTCCTTGGTATATTTGCAAAAGCTCGATCTGTAGCAGTGATATCGTTTTCTGTTCAGAATACCTCTGCAACCTACAATATGACGCTGGCAAATTTGGCAACAAAGGATCGCATTCGCCAAGGTCAGTTATATTCTTGTTTTTCTAATCATTGATAGCCACTGATATCAAGGCTGGTTTTTTCGTTGAAAGGTTCGAAGATAGTAAGTAGCGAAAGAGCGGTCGTTCTCAGATTTCTGAGCACGTAAACATCAAATGTTGGGTTCTGCTTTGATAATAAATACCCTAGCAAAAATGTTATTGTAATAAGTGAGATCAGAAGTGTTCTAGGGTAGAAAAGGAGCAAAAAAGAGGCCAAAAAGTTACGAAAAGAGTAATCCAATGCAGTTTTTTTTGGAAAAGGACGACCCATCCTTTCACCTTTAGCGTCTTCTTTGAATCCTTCAAAAAAGGAGGCATGAGCATAGTTTACTATTTATTTTTTGTTTTTTGAGCTCAAAGAAAAAACCAACACAAAAACATATGAGATCCATTTTTGTGTTGCTTACGGACCGATCGTGAGCCTCCCTAGCTTAGAGAACTTCTGGACAAAAGGTACGCAGACAGCTAGAAAACCGCGTCGCGACAGCGACGCTCCTGCACCAATGACTCAACCGTTTGTTCGCGTATTACTAGTTATGGACTCAGGGAACGAACAGAGTAACTAGGAATGGTCATTATTATTGACCAGTGCGCCACCTCTGCTTCGCAGAGGCTCGCACTGGCTCTACTACCTATGTGCCTTACTCATTCTCGTAAAATCGTGGCACTGGAACTCACCACGGTATGCCGTCTACCACGAATAAAATGTAAACAACTTCTCATTTGGAGAGCTTTTTCATGTGAGATCGGTGATTTCGTGTGGATGAAACTTTTCGCAGAAAGACAAATGCAAATTTGAATAGGTTTCTGAATTTATTATGGCAACGCATCCACCACTTTGCAAAAAGTTGTGATACGGACCCAATTTTGCAGGATAGAAGCCAGCTGGATCCGTTTAGCGCGCAATTTTTGAGGGATCCACTCAACGAATCTATTCGTGCTTTTGCATGTTCGACTTTCATGAACGCTCAGGACGTTGGCTGGAAACTGCTCTGCGAATTTCGTAACAGACACACTCACACACACACACACACACACAAAAACACGTAAACACCCTTAGCCCGTTATTATCATTACCAGTCCAAAGCGCCGCGAAGCGGCGCTTTGGACTGGCTGTGTGTGTGAAGTGGGCTGTGGCTAAAAGTTACAACTTTTAAAAATCTGTAGCGGAAAGTATGGTACTGATATGAAAACGACAGACCCAGAATCTACAAAATTCGTGGCCTTTCCTGCTTTTGAACTTCAAGGATTTTCTTGTCAAAAGTGGCAAAAGAATTATGACTGCTCCCTCCAAGCTTTTGCTAGCCGCGCTCCTCCCTTTGCTTCACACATACTCGTTGTATAGCGTTTTGCTATCCGGGGATTCAGAGAATCCCCCCCCCGCTCTCAATTCCTTTTCACCCAAAAGCAAGTGCCTGTCTCATACCCGACAAAGTTTTATCAGCCCATCCGGGTCCTTGCTTCCACACTGAGTGACTTTCCAAGCTGCCTTAGAACCCTCTCCCCCCCCCCAAAAGAAAAAGTTCCTGCTCAAACTATCTTATCTCTTTCCAAAATTGCCTTTTAGCTGCTCACCTAAAAGAGGGACCGTAGATTCGCCCGCAGGAACCATTACTTTTGGATTGGAGCAGGAATCCTCCGTAGAGCACCTTACTCTTCCAACGCTGAATTTGAGGATGCGCTTGCCAAATAACTCAATGTTGCGTTTTGCAACATTGAGTTTTGGCAAGCGACTCTACTACTGCAACTCTAGTCTCCGTATCAAGCTTGTCGAGCCACTTTCTTTGGTCGTGATATGCACTGACTTATATCAGTGAAGCTTTTGCGCTCGGATGTACTCAATTACGGCTAACACTTTTGCAGACGCTCTTGCCGCGTCTGTCATTTGAGCGGACTTCTTCTATGCCATGCTTGGCAACAGAAATCTATCCGAGAATATTTGAATGGCAACAAATTTGCGCAAGTTGTGTGCATTATCAAACTATCTTCCAGATAAACGTGGAACAAAGATTTATTTCATGAGGGCATCGCAATTCAATGCATAAACACTAAAGCATGTGGAATAAAAAATACATCGCAGCGCTTTATGCTCCGAAAAGGAGAACATTTCACAGTCAAGCTCTGCCATGATTTGCTTTGTAGTATTTCAGATTTACTTGAATCATTCAGGCCTATTGTAGAATCATTCTCCTTTTGTCATTTCATCATGTTCTTGTAAAACTGAAACACTGCAAGGCTGACTTGAAAACTGGAGTCATAGTTCAAGTTTGTTGAAGGTGACTTTGCAATTCTTATTGCAAACGGTCTCGGTTAATGGTGCCTACATTTTCGACAAACTAAGTCGTAAAACCTAAGCATCAGCTTTCAGATTCTTTTGCAAACTTATATTTTTGGCGAGCTTTGAAAAATGAAGTTCAGTGGTCTTTTTCCTCGCTTACATTTCTGAGGAAAGCTCTATGCATCTGATACTTGAATTAGCCTTTCAGGTCCAAGCAGCATTATGTATGGTGACAAAAATCTACAGCGTGTCCCAAAATAATGTGCACACTGTATGATCGTTAATAACTCTCTTGCCTTCATGTCTTTTTGAAGAGGGCTGTACAAATTTGAAGGAGTTGAAAAAACAACCACTTCTCAAGAGCGAAGGCTATTTATGCTCATACACTGTAAACTAGGCATGTGCATATCATTAAAAAGAATAACAACCTCGACAATAAGCTGTCAACATGGTTAATATTTATTTATCTCCTTACCTTCGTACCTGAAATTTTCTCAACACAGCGATTTGACTTTGACAAAAGCACAAAAGAACAAATCTTGGCCGCTCTCGAGAAGTCACAGCAAGAAGACGACGATCAACCGCTGATCAGTGCGCAACATTCACAATCAGAGACAAACTACGATGTTAAGAAGCTGGTACAAATTAGTTTCCTAGTGCCACCTTTTCAAATTAGTTACCTAGTGCCACCTTTTTTGCAAGAATTTCGCTTATAGGCAGACTCCCCAATAGTCAAGACATTCATTGATGCTGAAGACGGTTGTCCAGATTCCAGATCGAAAAAGTGATATTTACTAAAGAGAAGAGGAAAAGGCAAATCAAACTTTTATGTACAAATTCAAACCGCATTAACAAAGATTGTACTTGATGCTGATAGTAATGGAAACTTAGAGCCTGAGTAACTCATTTTATGCTGTAACTCTGCGCGGTTTCCCAAAATCAGTTCCCGCTGGCGATACCCATTTGTCCAGATTTGCCTGGACGCCGCTTTCAAAGAAAGTGGCTCGACAAGCTTGATACGGAGACTAGAGTTGCAGTAGTAGAGTTGCAAGACGCAACAGTGAGTTATTTGACAAGCGCATCCTCGAATTCAGCGTTGGAAGAGTAAGGTGCTCTACTGAGGATTCCTGCTCCAATCCAAAAGTAATGGTTCCTGCGGGCGAATCTACGGTCCCTCCACCTAAAATCTCCCCTCGTACAAATTTGAGGTTATTCACATTTGTAGAGCGTACAACGCCTAAAAACTTGTGATTCTGGCTAGATTGTTTAGAGCTTTCATTAGCAGAAATCTTTGAGCAGAAAATTTTTCATACATCAATTGTAGGAAAAATACTCACAAAATCAGTACAAAAGCATGTAAGATTTTGAAAAGCGCGAATTTTTTAGCTATTTGAGGTGCGCAGTGCCGACTCATCATCGCTGAAGAGCCTAACCGAAAACATTTGAAGACAGCACTGTATGACGTCATCAGCGCGACTTCTTTGGTGCCGGGCGCGTTGTCATTAGTGGTAAACGCCGGAACATACACACTCCATGCTGACTCACATGGGGGTGCTAGCGCTTTATATAATAGTATGGACTGGTTGACTTTCCCGGTCCAGCCCGGGCCATGGTTCACCGCACTGCGAGCCCCAACCCCAACTTCCCTTCCCCGCCCTATATGGTGTGGATGACTTACCCTGGGACATCCGCTTGGAAACCGCATCCTCGTGATCCTGAGGTGAAAATGAGCTTCACCGCCCTCCTTTACATGAGTATGGAAAATGCTTGATTGAACATGATAACCCTTTAATTCCTTAGGAAAATGTAAACAAATCAATAAATCGATAGAAGAACCCAACGAATCGCCGCAAAAAGTAGCCTATCATCTGCGCAGGGGTCGAAAACTTATGTGTGCAAAGTTTCAGCTAAATCGGTTGAACGGCGCGCGTTTCTATAACGCACATACCCTCCAAACTGACAATTTTTGAGTTATATATATATATATATATATATATATATATATATATATATATATATAGATTATTGATATTAGTGTAAAAGCTAACCTCATCTTCAGTGTGTTTTCCATTTGGTAATATTGTTTTAGTTTATTCATTGATTTATCAAATTTTCCGTGATAGAGATGAAGAAACCATGCTGCAAATCAAGAAAACAGAAAATTATATTTTATTACAGGTATTTCTACAGCAAGAACTTCAAGAACTGTATGCTCTTTACTTTCTTCGGACGAGACGGTAATGCGAACAACTTCGAAAAGTACAACGAATGTAAAGAATTTTGCATGTCATAGAAAGCGTTTGTAATTGTATTCTGATAGTTTGTGTACATAAAGAACGAGTAATTAAATTCAAAATGGCAAGTTTATTGAATTGTATACACAATCAAAATGGTTAATAGTACTCCAGAGCGTCAATTAAAGCTAGAAATTGCTAGAAGGTCCAAATGTACATTATACATATCACATGTTGAACGGTGGCGGAAAGTTCTGGAAGGGAACCTGAAAAAACAAGTGAAAATATGTAAGAAAAATAGAATTTCAAGCATAGTCTTGGGATAGATGACAGCTTCCGCGTAACAACAGTCAAAAAAAAGTATATGTGAAATTACCAGGCTACCTCCCCCCTCAACGGAGAATGAGTCGCGAAATTGCTGGAAGTAGCCAATGAGCTACAAAATGGCGCATGTATGTATTATACACATGCTTCCACTTGTGAATAATCAAAAATATTTGCAAAAATTTCAAACAACAATGTCAGGCACTCGCACGCCCCTATTCCGCTTGGTGTTATGGGCCAAAAAAATTCAGAAAGCTCAGAAATTTCTCGAACTGCCTCACCCTACCGACACTACCGTGCTCTAGCTACAAAGAATGGGTGGAGAGTCTTCAACGTCAATAATCTATAGATCATAATGTCTCATGTTGTTGAGCACTGACAGCAGCTCGAGTGCTCTAACCTACAGTAATTAGAGTAAATTAACTCTAGGATAGGAATCAAGGGTACAGATGTCATCTGCCAGTTTGGATAAGTTTCATACGTTCATCAATTGGATCAAAAGTATAAAATCAAAAATATTATCAGGAAATTTAATAATTATTGTCCTAGTAGAGAATTTGATGATTATCGTTCTGCTAGAAAATCTGACTCAACAGATGAAATCGAAAAGGTTGCGAAGCGGATTAGTTAATTTGACAAGTGATTCATTTTGTTCAAAACCCTATCTATACGTCACCCCTCTTATCTCAGTCACATGCTACAGTAACACAAAAACTCTCAAAAATTACGTAAGATAAGCGCATTGTACAAATCGGCTTAAAAGACTATGCAACCCGATAGCTTGGTTGATGAACTGTATGCCAGAAGGTCATGCTTTGGCTTGGTCAACATAAAATGTGTATTTGTGCACTCAAAATCATCAGTACATTAATATTTTCACATATACGGGGTGTTTGGAGAGTTCTTGGCCTGAAGTACTTCCGCAAATTCTTACACGCTTCTTGTTTTATTGCGTTTATCATGCTTAGAAATCATCTGTTCAGCAAAAAGCAAAAAGCTTTTCTCCGCATTTCGTCGTTTTTTTTTTGTTGAATTGAACCATAAATCCTCTTTTGGGAGAATCAGGTCCTTTTCTAATCTTTTCATTAAAGACTCCAAAAACGTGCAAAATTTTTTATATTAGCTTGGTGCGAAAGTTCTGTCCCACCATTTTCAAAAAATCATAACTTCTTCTTACCACAATGATTTTGCATGAGTAAAAATGTGTTGGAAAGAGCAATTCATGCACTTTCTAAATCTACCTTGGCTGCTATCTACCAAGCTCGCGGCCAGAGATAAATTTGGGAAAAGGAAATTACTTCAGGTTCGTAATTTTTAAGCAAGCCCGTTAAAAAATGCAAAACCGTGCCATAAAATCCAAATCGACCAGTATCTTAGGTTTTCTGATCCTCTTTTTCCATATGAGCAAGTTCGCGCTAATCGGGCTCTTCTTAGAATTATTATGATTTTCGAGAAAAAATGCCAAAAAATCTGTTCCTTAAGAAAATTGATTTTTTGGCATTTTTTTCAAAAAATCATAACTTCCAAAGGAACAGCTCGATCAGCGCGAATTTTGCTCATATAGAAAGAGAGGATCAGAAAAGCTAAGATTCTGGTTGTTTTGGATTTTATGGCACGGTTTTGGATTTTTTAACGGGCTTGCTTAAAAATTCCGAACCCGAAATGATTTCCTTTTTCCAATTTTATCTCTGCATTTCGAGCTTAGTAGATAGCAGCCAGGGTAGATTTAGAAAGTGCATGAATTGATCTTTCCAAGAGATTTTTACTCATGCAAAATCAATGTGATAGGAAGAAGTTATGATTTTTTGTAAATGGTGGGACAGAACTTTCGGACCAACCTAATATGTCCACGATGATAGGTAGAGTGCTACAAATGCACATTTGAGCACATTCCGGAAATTTTCGAAAAAAACTCCAACATGAACTTGAATTATTGTTCGCTGACTTTCTTAAAAGAATTTTTGAAGCGAGCTTTGCAGAACTTTTGTTATACAAAATGTAGAGTCAGGACTTTTGGTAGTGAAAAGGCGGAAAGTTGTTTCGGTCTTTAGTGTTAGAAAGTAGAACAACTCAAATGGCGCACTTTCGCACTTTTCTGCCTCTTCAAATAGACTGACAAAAGTGTTCACTTCCAGTTTTTTTTACGGATCTTAGAGCAAAAAATTTTTTATCTCATTTGATCAGTTTGAAAATCGCGATAGAAGTAGTTGAGGCCAGAAGCCTTCCAAAATCCCTGCATTTAGTGAAATCGGTTTGATTCACATCACCAACAGTGAGAGTGCATTTTAAGGACAAAGTAGTGCAATTAACTTGCGAAATGATTACTTTGCGGGCAGAAGATCATCATGTCATAAAAATTCGCCAAAGACTTCATGTATGAAGGAGAAAGGATGTCGATAGGGCCCTGCGCAGATCGCATGAAAGCAGGCTGGACATCGTTTTTGGGGCGAAAAAGCAAGGGTATCGTTTTGGGCCAAAAATTGCGACGTTTTTTGCAGAAGTTTCGTTTTTTGGGTTTTTACGTTTAGGGCTGAGAGTTAAAAAGGACTTCGTTTTCAAGAAGCCTAGAAACAAACTCAAGCCGGGCCCTAATGTCGATTTCTGCAGTTCACCCTGAGTTCCGAACATGCAAAAGATCCCATCAAATTTTTACATGACTGCACACAGCTTCAAAAATTGCGCTCACTTTTCTTATAGCAAAAATGCAATAAAACAGGGAATTTCGACACACATAAACTTATAACAGTATCTATATATAGGATATGTTCTGTGCATATAATACCGAAGATGCCGAAATAGGTAAGCACTTACTTGTGTCTGATTATAGTGAACAAATGATGGATAAGGGGCGTAGGAGACGGGATGTGGTGGGAAGAAGTTGGCGAACATGCTTCCGGGGGTCCAAGCTGTAAAAGTTCTTACATTTTTAAGATAGAAAAATAAAATTTCAGTAATGCAAAAGAATTTAAGAACGTATCAGCAACTGAAAGAAACTCGTAGAAAACAAGCAGACGATGCGGATTACGGTAAGAGTACGATCTACTCACTGAATATAGTGTTTTCTTTTGGAGCATTATTAGGGGCTGGTGGGAGTGGGGAGTCGCATTGGTTCCTCATTCGTTTTCGTTGCTTGGCTCGGCGATTCTTGAACCAGACCTACAATTAGGACGTTTTACCAGGTAACTGATTGTGACTGAGTTAACCTGACTAGGCAAGATGGGTATACTGCTTTAACCCTTTCGATTCAATGCATGATAAAAGAGCGACTCTTCATAGTCTACCATTACTAATTCGACAACAAATTCATAGTTGATACCTCCCAGGTGTCAATGACCTATTAACCTTATACCTATTACCGTACTCGTTTGACTAACTGTATTTACATAGTGGTTTAGTGCCAGCGACATTCGCTGAGCGGTCGGCAAATGTTTGAAGTGCGCAATAGAGAGCGAGCAACTAGAGGGATTAGAGCACACACATCTGTTCTAACCGAAAACACGTGTACCTAGCGAATTAGCGGTGTTATTACAAGGCATCGGTGATCATATAGGAGTCAAGTAGATCATCAACACGGTAAGATCTTTGCTACTGTAAGATAAAGGGGAAGTGATGAGATACATTAGCCTAGAATTTGAAGCTTTTTTCCTCCCAAAGTTTCAAACTATGCATTCGGATTACGTAAGCTCCCATGTATCTATTACCAGGAACCGTGTGTCTGATCCACGTATCCAGTATTAGTGAATCCGAGTGCAGATCCGACCATCTGCACAAATGCAAATACTACAGTATCCTCGGAGCTGCAAAGCGGCGATAAACACTTCTTCAATTCACCAAATTTTTACTAGGCTGAATCAATCATTCTCTACTTCAACCTTTGGAATCAGAAAGAAGAATGAAAGACAAGTGCCATGAACTGTATCAAACGCAGCTTTTCGTTTTCTTTCAATTCATGGCAGCGGTTTATCGCTCATAATTGCTGAAAAAGCTCCAAAATTTCGAACCCATTTTTTTGCTTTGTGCAACTATAGGTCATTTTAGCTCACTCAGCTTCATTTCAAAGCTTAAAAAAGTTTGATCACATGAATACAGAGCAAGGTCTCGTGCTAATTTTCTTTCCAGGTCTTCCGGAATTTCCCTTCCTTTCTGAAATGATACAGCCTACAATTTTTGGAAAAATTTGAAAACAAAAATAAACCGTATTCTACAGACCACTACAAGCAGGGCTCGGCACGAGGTGGCTAGTTGAAAATGCAAAAAAAAAACGAAGTCCCCCTTGGCTTTTGCGAATTTTTACGAAGTCCCCTTTGACCTTAGACCAAAATCCTGAAAAATCCCCAAAAAACGAAACTCGCCAGCCTGCTCATAAGCCACGTGCCGAGCCCTGACTAAAAGCTTCGAAAGAAGTTCATTATCATACATTGATTTAAGCGAACAAGCGTCCACCGCTTCGTATACCATGATTTAGGATTTTAGAACAGATATGTGCAATTACAGAACTTAAACGGAAGGCATTTTGGTGTTGAAGCTTCTGCGTTAGTTTCAGCAATAAGAGATTTGATTGAAAATTATAGCTGTCGGAAAGCTAAAGAAAAATTGCATCGGATTCCACTTACCTGTCTGTCATTATCCTAGTATTTTGAAAATTCAAGAAGAAATGCGGAGTTTTTCATATTTTTCACTCACCCTTTTTTCTATTAATTCCATATCAACTATGCAACGGCTGTTCCTTTTACAGTATCAGACTTCATGCCTTATCTCAAACTTAGCATTAACGGCTAGCATTTGAAAGGTGATTGTGACTTTCTTAAGACAGATTAAATAGATGGCCTGCTTGCTTTCGAAAGTGGTGGGCTTATGATTAAAGAAAATCGTCTTCTTATTTTCAAAAGTTTTCAGCAGTGACGCAGTCTGTAAATCCTACCCTGTGCAAAGAAGATTTGCCACGGAAACTCTTGCACTCCATATCATGTCTCAGAAAAGCTGCTCTATGAAAGGTTTTCTTATTTTTCGTACATACGAGAATAAATATAGATAGTAAAAATAATTCAACTATAATATAAATAGTTAGTATATAAATAGCTATTTGAGCGGTAGTCATCTTACGTTAGAGATTAGAGTATCATGCACGGATATCGCAGAATCTTTATCACCAATCAGTTATTTCACGGCATACTGTATCTAGAAATGAGTGTTTGTGCAGAATTTGAAATTCTCGCGATCAGTTGGTGAAGTTTGCTCCAAGCATATTTTCAGTTGACGGAAACTCGGGATACGATTAAGTTCTGCATTTTCGGTTAGATGATTGATTGATTTTGAATGTTTCAGTTGTTCAAATAACTCGCACTAGCATGTAGATGAATACTTTAAGGTTATATTCAATGAAAGAGCTGTCACGGCCGCAAAATTTCGATCGTTTTCTTTTTAACTAACGAAACAATGAGAAAACAAAAGAGAATTCCTTGAGGTTACCTGAATCCTTGCTTCTGGCAACTGCGTTTCCTTTGCTAGTTTCTCTCGCTGAGCAATGTCTGGATAATGACACTGTTCAAATGTCTTTTCGAGTCGATCAAGCTGATACTCGCTGAACGCGGTACGATTTCTTCTCATGCGTCTGTCGGAAGTTGGCGAAAGCGATTCTGAGCATGCTAGATTGCGATTTGCAATGGGGACAAAGCCTCAGGTAAGGTAATCTTACCCGAACTCTTCAATTGCTGTGAAAACCCTTCAAATGGGTACTGAAGCTGCATCATAGTGGTGAATGCTAGCTGCTGAAGGTTGACTACCGCTTCGGCCCGCCCAACGCCCACTTCCTTGTCTGTCATTGGTCGATGCAAACACGTTAGATCCACCTCTGAACGCGGATTGGCTGCCATGTGCAAATGTTATCGTCGGCTCAGCGATAGTTGACGAGAGGATTAGACGCGCGCGGATCAGCTGGCCTAACACTAATTTCCGGTCGGGAATTAGGGGTCGTCGTCTTCTGTTACCGTATGCATATTGCTTGCCGAACAGAACGACGCATAATCAGGGAGGCAAGTGTATAATTAGTGGAGTTTGAAAAGATCAGTAGCTGGAAAGCCACTTGAGATATCCTTTCATGGGAAAGAAAAAGTAAGAAGTACATATTTAAGAAACAGAAGGGGAGCCGGAGAAGAGGGGAAACTGCATGTCAGTTGAGATTTTTCGGGAAACCAGCCAAACTATTAATTGTGATTTACGTGAGCTGTTTCAAAAGTTTTAACCGCTTCTTGTATCTCTTATCAAAATGCTATTTTCAGAGAAAAATCATTTTTTGTAGGCATCTATCGTATAAAAAAATTTAATTATGCATAATTTTGTCATAGATTTGCTAATTTTAACACAATTTTTTACGTTTAAGATTTTCAGAAAAAAATTGTGGTAAATCAAAATTGTTTGGGAAGAGGTGGAATTTAACAATTCAGATAACATAACATACAAATAGGATGACTTAAAGCAGTGGTAAAAAGTGAAATTTTATCTCAAATAATTTTCTCCGCAGGCCAAAGCTGGTCAATAATAAACTACAATCACTCTATCAAGATAAATTTTACTGAAGACATGACGTTCTAGAGAGGAGCATGAAAAGGGGGAGGGAAATAATTTCGTGAAAATGAAAAATTTGAAGTGAAAGCAGAGAAACTGTTTCTATGATTTTGCTCCAAGAAACCTGTGAAACGAACTGTTTGCAATGGTTTGCAGTGTAAGCTGCTGAGAACAGTTAAGAGGGTTAAGCGATAAGTTTCTCAAGCCTCTTACTCTCCTCTAACTTGTTCGCAGGGTTCAACAAACAAGCTTGAGGAAAATTGAAAATTACTTTTGGTTGTCTATTCTCGAATAAACTGGCAGAGTGGGATTTCTGAAAATTAAAGAGCTTCAAACGGAGAAAAACTGAATGAATTTCTTTTTAAACTGGTGGGTGGATTAAAATGGGAAAAGTCTCTGTGTCATAATACCACCGGCTAGAAACACCAAATGGAAAAGCGCAGATCGGCTTTCTGTTAAGCACATTAACCACTATCGAATTTGTCGAATTGACGCTGAACAGCTTAGCAAACAGAGTTGCCATGTACGGAGCGAATCGTTGGCAAATCCTCTCGACGGTCCATGTTCGGCTAGTGTTTCACCTTGAATAAACACTGTACTGGAGATGTCGAGTGGATTGGCGGATCTGTTTGATATGCGGCTCTCATCGAGGGGCGAACTACCACTGCACAAATACGCAAAGAAGCCCTATGCTAACGTTTAGTGGCGTTAGGGGTACTAGTCTACTAGTGTTGCTTTGCTTATTAGCGTAAGGGATACTTGACCGCTGATTCATCATGTCACGGAAAAGTAGTTTGGCAATGACTCATATTAATTAATGCAAACAGAGAAGATATGAAAATGTGTGAACCATATCATCCGATAGAGCAGAGCAAGCTCTGCACAATTGTAAAATCGCAAGATATTCGAGTTACGTGAAGCTTAGCAGACATCTTGAAAATTTTTCGAATGCCCAAAAAACGGAACTCTGTCCAAAAACAAGGCCGACCTCTAGCTTGATCACGTATATACTAGGCATATCAGACATGTAAATGTGCAATCCCCGTTCTTTTTTTCGTAGCTGAAGATTGAGAAATATAGGCAAAATACAAATATGTCTGCCTTCTGAAAATTTGTACTTATACTCTAAAGTTTTGAGGTATAGAATATGTTGAAACAGCCCAACATTACTTGCGGTAGAACAACTTTTCTTTCGCAACTTCTAGCAACGAAAAAAAACATCAAGTGAGTGTATATGGTCTGATGCGGCAAGTAATTTTTTGTTTGAACAAGTCGAAGATTCTTAGGCTTTTCTCGAAAAAATCCTATTGGTATTCGCATTTTTCATAATTACCTGTTAAACTTCCCAAGAGTCAAAATTTTTGCCAGTTGTAAATCTCATCTTCTAGAACTTTGCTCTAGCGAATCGAATATTCCATACACTTTTATATATTCTCTGCCGCGGCTGTATAAAGATGCTTATTACTTTTGTTTTAACCTGATACCTACGATACTTAAAGGCAGCGTACACCCAAAACAAATGCAACAGATGTTGCAACAGCAACTGCAACTGCAATTGCAGCTTACGGTTGTTATGGATTCGTCAAGAGGAGGCGGAGCGAAAGAAAAGGGGCGGCGTGAAAGAAAATTGAGGGGGGTTTTCTCCGCTCAGAAGCAACATTGGGAGACCGAACCAACGCAGTTGGTCTTCTTCTGGGCCCAGTATAAACACGGTGTAGAAAAATCTAAAAAATTAGGCAACTTAGATTTTGGGTGTACGCTGCCTTTAAGTGCTCCATACATGCTTGACGAGTTCAAAGTGATTTCTTTTTTCGGTGATAGGCCATGTGGAATGAGGAGATACGGCTTTGCAATCCCAATAGTACGCAATCGATTTATAATTATCTACTTACAACAACAATTTTGAACATACTACTTTGTTCTATTTGTTCTACCGATTTGCAGATTTCCCGATCTGAAATGCCATAACTTTTTTTCAACACCAAATTTTTGCACATTTCAAACTGGGCTGGATCACGAGTATCTTCCTATCATGAACGCAGTACGACACATAAAGAAGACAGGCGAGAGAGAAGTGTAAGTTTAGATTTTCCAAGAGGTTTTTTTGAATCCGTCTATTCCGAGTTGCTCCCATACGACTATAGCTAGTACGTGGGTAGCCACATTGAGTGATATATTCCAGAGTTTACGTCTATGAAAAGAATCAATGGTTTTGGCTTAATGAAAGTTTTTGTAAGCAAGTAAAAAAACGCTATGTGAGTGCTCGCACGCCGAACTACTATGCCGGCTTTCTAATATTTGGTTTCCTACTTGCCGCAAGTTAAAAAGGCCAATCGGCTGATGATGTCGCTGGCTCTTGCTTTGTTCTAACGTATACAGTATATATATCAATTGTTCTACACGTAGGTTGTTGGCGCTTGTAGAATTTCTAAGAGAATCTGCAACCTTTGGAGACCAATTTGGTATGTTAGCCAATTTTCGGGGTGGAGTGAAGTGCGTATGTTAGCTACTTACACCCTTACCACTATGAAATTCTCAATAGTTGTTTAAGGGCACTACGGCGATTTCCTTCACAAAACATTCTCCTTGAGCATATCTGCACTTTAACTTGTGTTTTGGGTCTTTAAATTTTGTAATTGGGAAGTATTTCAGTAAGGCGCAGTAAGCACTGGAAATAGCAAAGAAATATAGGCTAAATGTCGTTCATTATACTGCAATAAATGCAAAAACTCTTCAAATAGCTACGTTGAACGCAAGGCAAATGAAAACGGGAATTTTCGGAATAACCTAGTATATCCTGTAGAAGCCTTATCAACCCATAACGGTTTCCAGTAACACCATGAACGCCTAACATCATGACAACAAATCGTATCTCACAACGAATCGGGCTAGGTTGATTTGGTGACGTTGGCGTTTGAGAGCGTTCGTGATATTAGGTTGCTGCATAAGTTCTGTCCGATTTAAATTTTTCGAATTCAAAGTGTTGTAACTTCTTTCAAAGTCAACCTTTTTCTAAGGTCTTAGTTTCTATGTATTAAGCAAATTATTGGCTATCAGACACATATGAGGCCTGCGAAAATTCTTGTCAAGGAAGAAGCAAGAACTCAAAAACTTCGCAACGTTTTTCTTCAGACCTGTCTTTTTTACATGGCAATGCTCCCTTATGAGATTTGATAGGCACCTTATCTAACAACGGATAGATAAATAAATTTTGTAGATTATTTTGCAACATAAAAGAGCCCGTAGGGTTTGATTCTGAGAGATTTCTTTGATCAAGCAAAAAAGAAGCCACTTTTTGACCTCGCTTCAGCGCATCTGTGCATGCCTATTTACGACATACTATAATTTTACAATTGACATGAGCACCGAAAGGAAATTGATGTATGGGCCCTGCTAGCTCTTGCTTTACCCTAGCATCTCCAACTCATCGATTACTTCTATTCGCAGAATAGTTACTGCCTGTAAAACAGCTATACAAAAATTAATATTTGACAATAAATTTTACTAACAAAACGTTTTCTTCATGGAACTGAGATTCTGCATATGCTGGCCTTCTACACACTTATTCCGCAACCAATGAAAGAACTTGACTTGAAGGACGCATTGTAGAGATTTCCTCGCAAAAACATATTTCTAGGGTGAGAGCGTACCTCTGCCACTTGGAGATTTCAGGCCTGAAATCTCTTTACACTAAGAAATTTATTGAAATTTGATATGCTTTGGAAAGAGCAAGAAAAGCACTTTCTAATGATATTAACAATAACGCATTAAAGATTAAATTCTCTCAGAGCAGCTACTTACATAAGGCAAAAAAAATCGGACAGAACTTATGCAGCAGCGTAATAGTCAGCATTTCTCTCTAAGCTCTACAGTGCCTTAAACCGATGCGTTTTTCTAAAAAAAAAAGAAATTTAAATGTGGTGGCGTTTGCGTTGGAGCGCTTGTAAGACTCAACTGTCGCTTTTGTTTCGGTGGAGAAGGAAATCGTTTCATAGAAACAATATCTGAGGATTTAATCTGGATGATTCAGATCTGGCCGTACACTAAAATTTAATTTTCATTTCGATAAAAATTATAACAATAACATTACGATATAACAGGTAACATGATGTCTTCAGACATCATTGTCCACTCCTTTCCGTCTGCATTTCTTGTACGCATAGAATACGGAGAATATCACAACCTGAAAAGCAAAAAATGTTTTTCCAAACTCCAAAGTCCATGCTCTACCCAAAATGTATCTATAGGGGTTATCTGACACCGTTACGAAACTGAAGCTTATTTTGCGATATACAGGGTGTCCCAAAAGTAAGTACACACTTTTCAATCGTCAATATCTTTATTTCCAATGGGTCTTTTTCTGCCAGTCAAATACCACTCTGTAGAGGAGGTTTCAACTTAGATTCACAGTATCGATCGAATCACCGGTCGCTCTTCATTACTGTAGGATTATGGTAAGAACTCCCAGCATATGGAACCATGGTGAAATATGCCATTTGGCAAAAATTTTTCAAAAAATCTGAAAAATTGTGTACTAGGATTTTTGCGCACTCTGATTCCACTACACAACTTTTTACGAGTGTTTTCACTTTTTTACGGTGTAATCACATTTCTGACAAATACTGGGAATTTTGTTATTATGGTTTACCTGGATAACTTTGAAAAGAAGCATCATAGTAAAGTAGAAATCTCATATTCGAAATCATCGGCTTCCATTACCAAAGCATAAGAGTTTGGAGCTTGTTTGGTTTTTTGTTCCGAGGCAAAATATGGCTTCCAGTGGTCTTAAATCCTTGTCGAAGTTCCTACAGTGATTACAGTAATGAAGAGGAACGATGATTCGCTCGATACTGTATATCTAAGTTGTGGCCTCCTCTATAGAATGGTGCTTGAATGGTGGAAAAAGACACAATGGGAAAGGAGATATTAACGACTGAAAAGTGTGTACTTACTTTTGGGACACCCTGTATTTTTGTGAACCTATAAATGGTGATGATGCGGTACGGCTCAATAATTTCAGGCTTTTGTTTAATATGCTGGTTCTAGTAATTATCATGACATGATAAATACTAGAACTATTACTAAAACAAATACTAGAACTATCTTATGAAGATGGCGGAAAAATCTTGCCCAGAAAGCCTAAAAAATTTGAGAAGATGTTTGACATCTGTTGTAGGGTAATGTAACTGCTTCACGAAAGCTGCGCGCAAGTTATCCTCTCTAGCCTTCAAAACTACAGGTTCACAAGCTACTACCGGCTACTGATTCCGCGGATTGCATGGCAAAAACAAGTTTACCTTGGTTAAGCTTAGTTTTTTTAAGAAAAATAAAACAAAACCAACAAAGCAGAGGTGGAATCCCGAAATGACTGTGACCGTCCGAGCGAATCCATAGTACTGATTGATAAGGCCTCCACCGATTGGTCCGATAAAAGATCTTGAAATTCATAAACTCACAAATGTTTGAAGTTTTGCACTAACTAACCCTAACGAGTAAACAGCCTCAAAGAGACCTGACACTAAACCGTAGGTCACAGTTCCAGATGCATAGCCTGCGTTTCTAAAATCATTACCTTCGATTGAAGGTTGATATACATAGATGGAAAAATTCGTACTCAGCTGCGTCAAGGCCATTCCGATAGACAGGTATCTGTAGCGTTGAAAGACCAGCACCAAAAATAATCTGACCCACTAGCACGAGCGGCACAGATCTGCATGTGATTTCATTTCCAAATCATGTATTACTATATTGCATGTACAACGATTACATGTGCAAAGATAATTGTCTATTCCTTATAGACCCCTGCGGGTGGACAGATTGGGGCCACTAATTGTTAAATTTTGACATACATTTATGAGAGAAAACAAGAACATCATTTTCGGTGCGGAAACTGACGTAGTGTTGTTCTGAACGGTATGCTCATTTTCTGGAGCTAAAAATTTTTGTAGTAGGGATGTTGAGCAAGGATCGAGAACCAGCAGGATTAAATATGGTGCTTGATGCCTCTTTTCACAGACGACGCTTCGAACAATTTCAGGCCTCTGAGCAAGAGGAAAGACATCGAAGCGTTAGGTCTTGGTTGGAATAAAGAGCACCTAGCAAAACTGTCTGGCAGCAGTACAACAAGATCAAAAGCGATGCGGAGTTTAAGGGAAGTGGAACTCGTTAAACTGTGAAGGAATGATTATTGCTGGTCTTGTTAATGAGGCGGTAAGGCACATCCTTGATGAGAAGGTGTTATAAGCGAGACGAAGGGAAGGCAGCTACCCCCCTCCCCCGCATATGATTACTAACCCGAAGCTTTTGGGTTACATTTCAGTCAACATGCTAAGTCCTATCATCAAATAGGCCTTGCGTTCTTAAAAATGGCATCAACCGTCAAGTAATTATTTGCGCAATTCAGTGTAAAAGATAGCAGTAAATTTCCATCCCAGGATGACGGCGGTGGCCAGTGCTGACATGGTACTCCAGCACAAATTTTTATGTTTCTTTCCTCAACCGCCTTTTTCATGTCAGGCTGCGATTAAACACTCAAAATCACTTCGAAAGTACTGAGGTTTCTTCACTTGTTTAACACGTTGACGACAGTGCCGCGCAATGGTGCGCTGCGGCCTTAAATTCAATACTATCTGTCCAATCCTCTCAGTTTTTGTTCATATAATCAACATAGGCTCAGATGTACTTCATGTATTAGCCCCGCCCCTTTTGGCAAACTCCGCCCACTTTTATGCCTCTCACAAGGATCCTTTTTGTCCACAAAAAGCATGGATGAGGCTGTAGATGAACGCGAAGACTTCAAGCAACTTCTAGCCAGGCCCCGCCCACCGTCAGGCAAGCTCCGCCCCTGAGTGGCAAGCTCCGCCCATTTTTCAAAAGTGGCGGAAATCGCATAAATTCTTGAAAGTTGGGCAATTTCGACATTTTTGGTCGGGTGGGCGGAGCTTGCCAGAGGGGGCGGGACTTGCACATTTTGTACTTCGTGCATGGATGCATGCATACGTACATGGGCCACGCGTAGGGATGGATGGAAACGTCTCGTCCACAGGGACAGACCGCAAAAAAATGGCTCGTCGTCAATGTGTTAACGCTTTGAGCCCTTGTGACGAATGGACGTGCGCGTTGACCGCAGCGGATGAGGCAGTTGCGATCTGGCAGGGCCCTACACAGTGCGCGATATTGGAGTCTTGCAGAATTCTGGACTTCCAATAACGCATGTCGGTGCTCTAACCGGGCAACTAATACCAACGGAAAGACCCGAAATCCCAGCAAGTCTATTAGAGTCAGTATTTTGTAGAAATTAAAGTAAGCCGTTGCACTTACTTTTGAAGGGGTAAAAATGGTGATGGACCAGTTAGTGATAGTGAGATAATGATAGCGATTGGAGCAAATAACATTCCAATTAGGTGACATTTGTAACGATCCACTAGCAACCCATTCAAGGGTGCTGTGACACTAAATTGAGCTAAATGTGTAACAAGTAGACCAAATCGGGTTGCAAGAATCATATCAGCCACAAACCTATAGCAAACTCCACTCACTAGAAATAACAATCCAACAACTGTTGAGCTGAGATGAAACTAAATTAGTACCTGTTACATCTTAGTAGTGTGAAATTTTTGAGCAAATGCGAGGATTTCAAGCACTTATTTTGAGCAATTTCTGTTTGTGGCATTCAACAAACTGAGGCAGCTAATCTCCAAACATGAAAACTCAAATTCGGCATAGTACCCCCTTTGACAAAGTCAGTTCTAGCCAAAAAGTTTGAGCAAATACTTGACATGCCAGTTACAAAAATGGCACCCGCTGTCACAGTAGCCTTTCTTTATGAAGACCGGATAGGCTACGATTAGGATTAAATTCAAGTTCTGAATTAACCCACAGATTCTAAATGCCCTGCCATTGCAGGATTTATGAATGACGTGCTGACAGCCACGTTGAACAATGCAAACAACATTATCCAGATAGTGGGAACACGCAAAAGTCCAATGTACCCAGTTGATTGTTTTGATTCTTCTTGTTTGATGTCTGTAAAAGACGTTGTTGGTAATTTACTTTTGACAATACCTGCTTAACGAAGATTTGCAAAAAAATAAACAAAATAGCCATCCTAGACACAGAGATATCCCTAGAAGTTTATGGATTGAATTCTAAAAGTTTGCAACAGTAAAGAGTGGATATGCAGCAAATCTCTAGCAGCAGCAACCTGTGCAATCCCAGTTTTTCTTATAACTTAATAGCTTGAAAATTTACTGAGGATCTCTCTGTAAGATAAAGATTTTAAGCATTTTACGGTCGCTCGCTTTCTCTAGCATCTTTGTTTTGAAAAGTCCACTTAACCTTCGAGTTCAGTGATACAGACATAACTTGAATGATTAGGGATGGTTTTGCGGCTTGGTGGGTTAGGCCCCCCCCCCCTTTCGCGTAATGCTTAGCTGCCATGCACCTTGCTCCTTCTCCGAAAACTTCCGCGATTGCGGGCGAGCTTTTGTGCACGTTGAGGCGTTACTTAAGCCCCAAAACAGATCAAGTAAGTGATGTAAAATTCAATTAATAATAGGATGAACTAAACTACGAACCAATGACGATGATATTATGGAGAGCGTAAAGCTACCGAGCCACCTGGGATAAGTTCTCATTCACACTCCCCCTTGCGCACTCTCACAACCTCGCGACTCTTAAGCTGGCTGTACCACAGGTTGGGCGCGTAATGCAAAGGCACGGTAACGACGCCGCTGTCACCAACAGTGCGATATTATCTAGACAATCCTGCGCGTCCAAGCGCTACTTGCTACTTACCGTACAGACATTACCAACCTTTGCGCGGCCATCGAACTATCCGATCGTCCAATACACTCGCGCATCCGCAAGGATCAGGCGCTATGCCGTACTAACAGGGCCCAACCTTCAACAACAGGAACGATGCACATGAAAACGAAGGAAGTGAGACCGAATTGACACGCGGGGTTATTTATAGCCGAGACCGGGATCGTGTTTGGTTAGTGGTCCCGAAGAGAAGAGAGGTGCAAGGGCAGAACGCCGCAACCATGCCCACGGCCTAACGGAGCGGCGGAGCCGTGCTTACAAGGGAACGATACTTGGTGTCCGTGGCCTTTTGAGATGATTCGTATACCTTCACACTCGCTTTGGAACGCTGATTCCGAATCTGACTTCCTTTTCTGCTAATCGTTTCTCTGAGAGAAGTTATGAAGGATTTTCGTATCAATGGTCGCCTAAGAGAAACGAGACCGAGGATGCCTAACTTTCAAAAAGAAGCTTGATTAAGGCAATACAAAACTGAAAAACACAAAAGGACTCGAACCTATACCTACCTTAACTTACGAACCTTAACTTGCGAGGCTAGCTCACTAGCCATTAAATGACATCTCAGCGGCATTTTTGGCATTGCGACCACGTCTTCTTTGGCGCAAAAATCGTTCATAACTTCTTTTAGAGAAACGATTAGCAGAAATGGAAGTCAGATTCGGAAGCGCTCCAAGATGAGTGTAATGGTATACATCTCATCTCAGAAGGCCACGGACACCAAGTATCGTTTCCTTGTTAGACATTATCAAGGAGCTTTCGATTGCGAGCTGCGACAGCTGTGCTTTGGGAATCGACTATCTCAATGGATTGACAAAAAAACTGGTATTTGCTATTCAGGCGACTGGAAAATTCTCAGAAGTATCTCTCTAAATAAGACCATTCCACGTCCTTCAGCTTCTGCTTTATATTGGACTAGCAAACATTCTCTCACCTAAGTCTACTGGAATCAAAAATCGACTCAGAAATGCCATGCAGAACATTGCCATTCCCAATGAATAGAAAGGAAGACGGAATCCTCCCAGATCATAGAGCATCCCTCCCAGAAACGGTCCCAAAGAGAAACCAATACCACCACAAGTTTGAAGAATTCCCTGAGCATAGGCAAGACATGGGCCACAAAATTCAAATTTTGAAAGTAATTAGGCTTGCCAGAATTGTGGACAGCATGCCTGGTAAGGTATTTGCGTTTATAGTGAAGCTCGACGTGACAAATGCTGCTTCGCCAATTCCTTGTAGTGTTCGTATGGTAAGACTAGCTATGAAAAACCACTTTCTAGAGGGTATCAAGTCAATAAATCTGTAAACACAGATATTTTTATTTTTGGGAAGGAATAACCAAAATATGAAATAAGCTTGCTTCCCTACCCAAAGAATAATGCAATGGTTCCAGTGGAAGCGAGTCCAATGGTGAAGAGGTTCTTTGGGCCAAAAAGGGGCATCTAAAAAAATGTCTTCTCGTTATTTATGTTGGCACTTATTAAATTATTTCAAGTTTATTAGTATCTTACCAGCTTTCCGGCTATTGGCGATCCCAGAAATATCACCAGCTCGAATATTCCAAAAGTCAAACCTATCTCAAAGTCGGAGAGTCCTTTCGTCTTGGCCTGAATGATAAATTTTATAAACTTTTCAGCACAAATAATGTCTTTGAAATACCTCTTTAGGATAGAAAGGAGCTATACAACTATAAGCAACTATAGAGAATAGATTTGCCAAGGCAAGCATTACTAGAATCCCCCATTCTCGAAAGGAAAATGAGGAAAATGTTGTCTGAAACTGCATAGAGTGATATAATTGAAAACTAGTAATTTCGATACCTTAGGAGCATCTGTGTCCGCTGAACTTAAAAGAGGTTGGGCTCTGGAAACGAAATATATGAGGAGCTTTCGAATGACGCAACTACACCATGGCACAAAGTTTTATAAATTCACAAAATTCTGATACATTGTTTTTTACGGACTTATGCGCTATACTTGCACAACGAACTCTTACTTTGGGCCCTACTAACATAAAGACGCTCAAATATGCACTTACTCGCTAACTTCAACTTCCACATATTCGTCATCGAATTCTCTGACAGCTGGACTGAGGTTATCCATGTTTTCCGGTATCATCATCGATTTGATGTTTCGGCACGACTACTCAATAATCTTAGCCAAAACAAGTCGCGCATACGTACTTGTTCACTAAATCAGCATCTTTATTGACATGATGAATGGCGAAGATTGAGCAAAGATGCCAAAAAGAGAGAAAATAATAATACTACAAAGAGGATTAGGAAATATTGATTCAAAAAATATGTCGATTTGATTTTGAAAAATTCGTGACTGCTCTCTATGTCGACAACAAGGAACTCCAGAGATAAAAATTAGAAAAGAAGGACGCACTCAAACTTCCGATTTTCGAGAATAAATCGTTAAAAATCTGAAACGCTGCAGAATAATCTGAGACCTTGTTTCTTTTCTACGGCAGAAATGACGTTTCTTGTACTTTTCTGCATTTTTCACGGAAACCATAACTTTCCGTAGAAAAGCACGTTTATATAGGGAGCAGTTAAGAATTTTCCAAAATCAAACCGACAAACTTTTGGACCTATACTTTGTGCTACAGATTACTTAGAATTATCGATAGGCCTAAAATCAAAAGCACCTAGATGGCATTCTTATCGCAATTAGGTAGAGCTTAAATACCCTAGCGCTAATGTCTAGAGTTGTGATAACGACAGCTGTTTGTTCGCACTGATCAACACACTGTGTCGTCATTCTCACCATCTGATTGCACAATATTATGAGTTGAACAACGTATTTGTCAACAAGAGGGGGGGGGGGGGGAGGAAGGGTGGTGCGAGGGCAAGGGAGAGGGCAACTGTAAACGAGTCAGAGAATTATTACCTGCAATTAATTTTTGGTTTTTGTTGTTAGAGAACCTAAGAAGGAAATACCTACAGATTGTAATGCCGCTCTGATGCAGACAACTTTTTTTGTCGAAGGTTGTGTCCGTACGCGAGACTAAGGAATTTTGAAAAATGAAGGTTTATTCGGTATGAAATGGTCTGTGGAAATCTTCTTTGTGAAAAACCTCAGCAGTCAAATAACTAACTATAGAAAGATAAAAACTTTCACTTTCTGGTACGTTATTCATACTTTATTCAATTGCGTTCATCCACAGATGTCTGACTTTTCCTTGTAATGTTTGATTTCAACCAAAGTTCTGCACATATAAAGTATAAAACTATTTATTACATCAACATTATAAGAAAAAATGAAAATTTTTGCATCACCGTAAGAAATCTATATGAAATCGGGGTAGATTACGCGCACAATAAAAAAATAGGTAAAAGGTTCGATCACAGACATGCATACTCAACAGCTTACCAAATTACTGTCAAAATTAAGAATATTTCATAGTGTTCAAGATTTTTTGCTTCTAGAGGCTCTTTTGTATCTGACTACCCTTATATGCTGATATCACCGGTTAGAATAAGTATTCGCTGTCATCTCAGTACAGAGGTAACAACACAAGAGCTAATAATCCGAGCAAGATATTCAAGTACACGGCTGAAGAGCCTTTATCTCCACTTGTCGTCATATTCAGTGATATATACATGGATCCACCTCGATTTACAAAAGTATAAACAGAGGAGGGCAGCTTGACCGTATTGTTCGCCGTTGCATTCGTATTCGTACTGCTGTAAAATATGAGATAAAAAATGTGAGTAGTTACCAAGGCTGCGCCTGGAGTTGCCCGTGCCAGAGTCATGCCAGCGCCGTGCCGAACCTCGACCAACGACGGGAAGCGTCCACGTGGCTCCGCCACGAAGCTAGCATAGCACTGGCACACGAACTGTGAGTCTTGCCTAAAAACAACTTACTTCAAGACTGTCACCAACTTTCCGGTAGTAGATGTTGCATTGATTTCAGGCACCCCTTCATAGATTTCCAATGATCTAGCAGACATCTGAAACATTTTTTATTTGTGTCATTCACAGCGCGAGTACTGGATGGCTACGCTAAGCGACACTCAGTGCAGAAAAAGGATGCAGATGCAAGATACGCAAACAGCTAGAGTAACTCCATCGGTTAACAGCTTGTGCACTGTCTGCCTTTTGTAGGCAGGGTTGGCAAAATGGGTGCTCGGGCTTCTTAGTGGGTACCAGTGGCGGACCGTGGGTGAGCGGAGTGAGGAATGGGTCGCAAAATTTTTAAATTCACTTACAGGAGCTATAAAAATGTGCAAGTGATGTTTTATTCTTGTGAATAATTGCGATAATTTTTGAAACTCCTTAAAAACTCGAATTAGCCTTGCAAAAAATTTTTTAGGGATGCGGCTGCGGCCACGACCCTTTCTTCTAGACTTTAGAGGTTGCGGGCCTGCAAGAAGCACATCAGAAATTTCTTCGAGGTGCGTGGGACGCCACTGCCTCCCCCCTCCCCCCCCCCACCGACACTGGTGGGTACCGATTGGAAAGTCCCGGTCAAAGCATTGCATGATAGCTCAGCGGCTCGATTTTGTCCGTACTGATAATATTTTCGCCTAAATTGCAACATATGAATTGCGGAATTATTATTCAAAATTTCCGATTTCCTCTACTTCTGGTGCACCTTGGGTCTATTTACAAGATGTAAATAAATAATATCAGAATTTCTTTTCACTTTCCACATAAAAAAACCGAGATACCCATATTTGCATGGACGCTTTTTCCAAGAAATCCCAACGTCTATTTTATAAAAGTATATAATCTTACCCAGACAATATCATCAATTACTCCATTTGCACTGTCACCAATTTTTGATACAACTTTGGCTGCAAAAGGGCTTCCAGCAGTTAAGGTCAAGTTGAAGTCACTCTCACGCATATCAGAGAAACTATACGCCGACCAGAGACTGTTGAAGGGTTCTGAAAGTTTCAAACTTGAGTTTTTACAATTAGAGCGAGAAAGTGATTTTTGGCACGCATGCTTCTCTGCGCAATTATAGTTCTTGTTTTTAACCAAAGTGACTGTAAAGTGAATTCACCTCTGTAGGCAAAAGCAATGAGGTTAACTTTGTCGGTCGTGTTTATCTTATCAAACATTGTAAGATATTGCTGTCCCGTAGGGAAGACGCCATTTCTCGTAGTATAGATAGCAGCTGCTCTGAAAACCCCAATTCTGGACTCTAAATTAAAAATGACAATATAATATGAAACCTACGTTGCCAAATAGCTCGTATTTGAGAAGAATATCAAGTTCCTTAACAAATTCAGTGGTTCATTCATTGGCATAGTAGTCGAATTTGTGTAGTAATCTACCATTAGGCCAACTTTGTAACCATCAGGGGTATAAAACGTTGAACTGAACGTTTTATATGATCCAGGAAGAATACGCAATGTCGCGTTGCTGCTAATGCCATAGGTCATATCGCCAGGTGAGACTATAAACAGTATTTGGGAAATTTGTAGAAACTAAGTATGGAAAAAATAAACTGACCTTCTTCACCACGAATTTTCATTGCGAATGTGGCTGGTGACTCAGTGGGTAATCTTCTTACCATAACAAGATATGGAGCTGCACTTGCTGGGAACGTGAATTCGATCGGATTCGAGTCATTTACACTAAAAAGTACACAATTATAATTTCAAAAAAAACTCAAGTAAACGGTTCAACTTACTAAATAGGATTGGCTGTATTGCCTTCGTAGTAGGCGACCACCGTCGAATTTGTGAAATTTGAGCCTGACACTGATATGAAAGCTACCGTGAATGGAAGTGGTGCTATCTGCAATAATTTTGTACTGTGAAAGCGAAACCTTCAGAGCTTACCGCACCTGAAAGCTGCATTGCGTTCCAGGAAGCAATGGGATCACGCCGCTATCGTTCTTCAAAGCGTAGATGGTGTCACTGGCATTTACCGCGATCGCTACGGTACCACTAGCACATGCTGCTGCAAATAGTAAAAATGATGGTTTATCAGAAATAAGTGCGGCATAAAGGGTAAAATGAATTTTCCGGAGTCTTCAATAAGCGCATGCGGCCGGACGCATTCTACTTCGCAGCCGAAGAGGCCACAGCACCCCTATTGAGAAAAATGCTATGCAAACATCACATTTCTTTCGTAAACCCTAAACAGATTATTTAGGGTAGATGTTAGTAGATGGTCGAAGAGGCGTAACCACCATTTGTGAAACGTCAAAAATCACATAAATAACCCTAATTTGCCTTGAATGCGACAAAGATATGCCTCGGATAAAACAATGATCATTCTCTTACTCAAACAAAAGAGGTGGAAAAATAAAATATTCCACAATCTTGTTTTGACGAGCATAATTAGACAAGAATAAAAAATGTTACTCACCCCATTGTGCCAGGGTCCCGCTCGTAAAGGATAAAATTATTAGTGCGGGCAGGATCATCAGCTCGATATTCTAGAAAAATCGAATATTTGGGTCTTGATACGCGATGAACACGTACAGAAGTACTGCAAATGAAGCCAATGAAGTGACCAAAGCAAATAGGACTGCTGGCCGGTAGGTTAGTAACGACACGTCATTGATTCTCTACCAAAATAGACTTGTGGCAGCAGTCAAATGTAATGATCTCCGATAAACAGAATTTTTCAAAACATCAAAGAGCTTTGCGAGATGAAGCCTGTAACGCATTATGACGTTAGTAAAGAGATCAAGTGTCAATAGGGTAATTACGAGCATTATTAACGTTCCAGAAAGTGGAAAAAGTCCCATGTTTTTGTAAAGAATTGTGTTAGGCAGCTAAGCTGTCGTCACCTCTTTGGAAATATTATTTAGGGGCAAGAGGGAGTAACTGCACTTACTTTTTCCAGAATCTACACAATTTCTTTTATTAAGTAACTAGACATCTGCTGAGGCTGAGAAATCTCTTTTGATCATAATTAAATTGATAAGCTCAATGTTTATTACGTACTATTAATTAATTTCTTGGTTAGATTCTAGGATAGATTGAATTTAGAATAGGATCTGCAATCATATGCATCGAATGAAATTACAAAACGTAAATTGTGCTTTCGAAATGTGTGTCTACGATCATCCAAAGAATACGCATTCCACACGCATCAAAGCTGCATATACAGCAAACGAAATGCGGTGTAAATAAAAGGGACTTCCGGCTTAAACTTTGGAATCTAGCCAAAGCTCATAATTCAGTACTTTGATCAAGCTTGAAGAAAAAGCCACTCAGATTTCATAAGCTGTAACTTCTAAACTACTACCCCTCATCTTTTTCCAAAGTCTTCAAATCACGCACTTCATTGCTCGTAAATCACCTTGCACCGTCACGAACTGTACTATTTGGAGCTGACAAAGCTTCTGTGCGAGGACTCAGCCAAATATGTAATACTAAGGCTTCACAGATGCTCTCGTGGAATGGGGATGCCCTATTACTATTCTATCAATAGCTTGAGGTCTAATTTATCTATTTAATCTTCCCAAAATCAATAAAATTCTTGATGCAATAGACTGCACCATAAAGTTTGCAACTACCAGAAGTCCTCATTTGCGAAAAAAAATCGTTTGAGATGATGAAAATAAAAGTACAGCAGACAAATATCCATTTTAAAGCTTTTGAGTAAAATCCCAAGGGGTTGCGTTATTGCTTTCCCTTGTTCCCAAGAGCTCATAGCAGAAGCTCTGCTTTTATGTGTAAGTACATATCCTACTCTTATTATCAAATTCACTTGTTTTAATTTGTATCAGAAAAGAAAGTAATATCCATATAAGGCAAACTAACGAAAGAAAGATTAGAATGCATGCTAATTTAGCCGATTTTGTAATGGAGAAGAATTAGATGTTCTCTACGATCAGTGGTTGTAAGCTGCAGACAGTTGGAAAGTGACTGAAAACGGCACACAATAGGGCAGACTGTTGAAGAGAATACAATCTACTGTATGAGGAAGTAGATACGCTTGAAATCAACACGTAACGATGTTTATCACGAAGCAGATATTACTGGAATTCACCTATGACTGCAGAAAATAATAAAAACTGGGAAGCTTATTTGCGCCACGATTATTCCGATCACTCTGATGAGGATTACATAAGTCCGATAATGGATCATGAGAGCAAGTCCACAATGGGGAAAACTAATGGTACAGGGATTAAGAAGATGCTATAATCGCAATGCTTGAAAAGAAGGTAATGAGTATTTATATCTTTCGCGTTGTAAGCAAGCTGATGATTGATAGGAAAAAATTTGGCAACTATCAATGTATTCAACAGCATTTTTCTGGCTAATTGTTGAGACTTTACCGTTGCATATGAAAAGATGCGTAAATTCGAAGAAAAAGTCAGTGGAAGCGGTTGCAGAAACACTTCAGAAATCTCTAAACTGCAAGGCTCCAGTTTAGTGGCCACATATGAACATCGAAAGTTTGAAAAGTGTGGCTCCTAGCCTTCCTCCCGCTTCATCATTTTTCTTAATCATTGAGAAAGACCGATGCTTTTCTGACAAGGAGGGTCATGAAGTCGAAGCCCAATACTACATACTGCATACCATTAATGAGAGCTTGGAACACTGATTCCAAATATGCTTCCCGTATGAGCGTTCTTGGGAAAGAAGCTATGAGCATTTTTGAGGCAAAAAGAATTATTAGAAGGAATAAAATTAATCGCTGTAGCCTTTCTAGACGTCAAATAAAGAAGTAGAAAGTACTGAAATACCAGGCAGAATGAGTTCATTTTATATGTATATGAACTATTTAACACTTGCCGCTGCTTCATTTGAAGTCTAAACATGCAGCGATTGATTTTATGCCGGCCATTAAATCAATCTCCTCAAAAATGCTCGTATCTTCTCAACTAGAGGTGCTCTGCAGATAAGGAAAGCAGTTTTAGAATCAGCGCTCCAAGCTTCCATTAACGGTATGCAGTTTATAACGATCGGCCACTTCGACTTCGTAACCGTCCCCCGTGAGTAACAACGAGGAACGAAAATCTTTTTACGTTAGAAAATACAGTTCAGTATTCTTGTTCGACAGAAAGACGAAAAAGATATTAGTTCTGCTTGCTGCAGATCTTCACTATAATGTGTGTATACTGAAGTGAACTTTTAAGTTAGGAGTAACTCGAAGTCCTTCCAAGCGTATAATATTATAGTAATATAATTTTTTATAGGGACCTTACATCATGGCATCAAGTCGAGAAAAAGATATTCAGATGTCTGGGCCAAATGAAAATTAGCATCGCAAAAATAAAATTACAACATCGGAACATTTTGCACCACGAAATACTACCTATATCCTATCAAAAAACCTCTTTTGTGCTTTTCTCCAGCAGCATATAATTTTTTCATATAGACTTTCGAATTTCTGAGACCTCTAACTGGATTGTACATATGAAAGGCTAAATTGCGACACTTATGAGGAAGTGAGGGTGCGGAAATGAGTACAAAGACTGATTAGCAATTGCAAATGTACGGAACTCGGCATAACGTCATTGAGAACAGATCAAAGCACAATTAAATCCAGGACACCCACTCATTATGCTAACAGGGAACTTACTCAATATGGCTGGGAGAGAAACACAGATAATTAACTGATGGTCTAGACTGTAAGCATGTTTTCGTCAAAACTCACAAAGGTGTAGTCAATGAGGCATGTAATTATTTCTCGGTTTCCTTCACGTAAGCATACAAATTCTGTGAAAATACAAAACATTATGTAGTAGACAAAAAGGGGAAGTAAATAGCAAGTTGGATCGAGCATTCATAGTTGTGTAAACCATGAAAATTGCTCTTCAAAATCTTTACGAAATTAAAGCCTTTTTCAGGCAAGACAGTGGAAAAATCACAAGACATAATTCAAATATAATGTAGAGGTTATTTTCTAATAATTAAGTCCAGAAATCACTTTCACTGCCTGTAAATTATGATGAAAGGCGATAAAGTGGAACCAGCGTTTTCGCATACGGATCTAGCACAAGTAGACACTCAAGGACGTACTTGTAATGCTAGAGCCGGTTCAACATTTAGCGTATATCTTGGGAAATTGATGAGCAGTGGCTGGATTAATTTCCTATGTGATCTATTAAGCTGTCCCAAAATTACACTCCATTTTCAAATAAATTGAGCTGCTTTTGTTTTCTCAATAGAGTTCGGGTACCATTCGCTAGAAAGCAAGCTCTATGTACAGGATTACCACTATGGATCCATCTAACAATAAGTTGTAGTGAGGCAAATTCTGGAGCCAAAAATCAAAATTTTTCAGCTACCCTAAATCGAATCTCCTTCCAGAAATTTCCTACGAACTTCCATCTTGGTCTTTATATAATAGACACACAGTAGTACCCAAAGATGTATTTAGGGGTTTTTTTTTCCAGGGCTCGAGATTAGGAAATAAAGATGGTTCGAAAATGCCAAAACGCCAATTTTTTCAAGTCTGCTGAAAAAACAAAAGCAGCTTGAATTATTTAGAAAGGGAGTTTACTTTTGATACATAATATCCAAATATTATCCGTTTTAGGAGAAATGATACATTACAAAATATTGTGAAAAGAGATTTCGGTTAGGATTTTATTTCCTTTAGTTGATCACAACGGATTGGCTCTAACTTTTTGTGAAAAAAAGTAGTACAATCATCTCCAGAGAGTATAGTATACCCACTTATACAACCTACTTACCTTAATGCTGCCATAGTGATTATCACAGCTGGAAAGACTAAAGAATTCTTGAGGTCTCCGCATAAATTTGATTAGAATTTATGTGTTGTACTTTTATGGTAATGCCATTCCGAGAATAGGATATAATTCTACACCCACAATATGTGAGCGTTCAAAGAGTTTGAAGAGACAAATGTCGTTTTGAAATGAACAATTAACAAGTGAAAGTTTTTCTTCCTAGGAAGTACTGCAAAAGATTCATTCGTACTTCTCCGATTTTGTGAGTTTTGAATTTTTTGTTTAGAAGCTTTTCGAAACCTTGTTATGAGTGCATTTTGTCGCACATCTTTGTTTGGTTATTGTGCACCAAACAAAATTTCTTTCCAGTGGATTCAAAGCGAGAGTGTCAGAGGAGAGCATTTTAAAGTTCCATCGATCAAGGCATGTCACTCCGAAATGAACTTACTGGTTACTACGAAAACGAAAGCATATACTCAAACTAGGTAAAAAGTTTTGAGATGATGTGTGCAATTTCTCAAAAGGGGTTTCTTATCAAAATCAGCATGCTAAAAAAATTCAAATGCGAAAAGCTGCGCCCATGGTCTAACATGTTGGAAATTTGAAAAAAAACCGAAAAAGAAACTTCTTAATTTGATCGTCCCTAGCTCTGGCGCAGAATAAAAACAAAAACCCTTCAAAATATTCGTCGGAGGTACTTGAGGACAAAAGGTTTCCACTCTATATAAACAAAAAGAAAATTTTAAATTAAAAAATTGTAGAGAATCAGCTTCGATTCCACTTTTTGAAAAGGCAGAACATTTATAAACATTACAAGCAGAACATTTAAACACAATCTGGCCTACTACAAAGAAGTTAAGCCAGATTTAAACCCAATTCTTGAAAATTTCGAAAAACTAGAGGTCAGCAATTTTCCAAATACCATGTATGAAATTGAGCAAACGAGATATTGAGCATGACCGAAATGATTTCTCTTCGTTAACTTTGGCAGATTGAAGAACACTCGAAATTAGGAGATATTATTTTTCAAACACCTTGGAGGATTATTCCAAATTTGGATTCCTTTCAGACCGATTTCGATACAATAATGATATAAGTCGCGATAATTTCCTTAATATTGTGCAATAAGCCATGGATTTCGGCACCCTCGATTTCGCCTTTTTTTGAAATTTTTCTTGAGTTACCAGCAGAATGGGCAGATCAAACCCATAATGAGAACAACAAGGCAATGCAAGAAGTACTCAAATGTCAATAATACGTGGAAATGCAGCCATATAACGAACTCACATGCGTCATTAGCGGTTCGCTACTATATCAATAAGGTTTGAATTTGTCATAATGGCGCTGAAGTACAGTAGTTGACAAGTTAAATATCTCTTCAAGCAATTTCTTTGAGAAAAACTTCCTTTCAACTACAGCACAAGAAACACGAGCATATCAACTTTGTCTGGAGGCACGCAAATGATTCACTGGCTTCAGTCGCAAGCTTTTCATAATTATACTTCAATGAAGCCCATGGGAAGTGTTGCTTGATTTGCGCAAATTGAAGTCAGTCATCAGCGCTTTTCTGCAGACATAGCTAATCAACAACGTGTGATACATCTTAGGTAGATGAAAACTAGCCAGGAACAAGCTGTGTGCTTTTTTGTTAGCTTGTAGACTCTAGAAGAAGTGACTGTCTTTGTGCTTGTTGATGTAAATCCAAAGGAATGAATTGAATTATAGGTATGGAATTAACTACACAACACCATATTTTCTCCCAGGCTATGCTTGTCAAATTCTTGGGAAAAAAGGGCTTGGCGTTAGCTTTCACCGAAAAAAAAAACTTTATAAGGCTAATATTTCTACCCAAAAAAATTCAAGAAAATCTATTTAGTCACAGGCAAAAACAAGTCTCTTGCTTTTTATAATTCTATAAGCTTCTCTTAGAAAATTGGTGACTTATTCCGAGCGCCCCCCCCCCCCTCCTCGCTCCGCCGCTGGTACAGCGACCCACTTATATGCAACTCATCGAGTCATTATAACCTCTTCGAAAACATTCAGTAAAGCTAACATTTTTCAAAATTTTCTTGTTGCGGATATTGACACCTAAGCCAAGCTGTGGAGTACTGTACCTGAGGAGCACTCTCGTCAGCTCTGAGGATACGTACGCACAAATTGGGGGCAGAAAGCCAGGTCTATGGTTGTCAGGATATTGTATGAAAGAAAAGAAAAACTTATACAGATAAAAGAAGCTGCAGCTTCTTAAAGGCAGGCAGTGGCTCGGCAAATCCTCGACCTGAAGTTCTTTCGCTTTCCTGGGGTAATTCAACGTGCTGATTTCGCGTCGAAAACAGCATTTTCCAAGGGTTCTCATTTTTAATTTGGACGAGTGGACCACTCTCCGCCATGGTTAGAGACGTAGAGCCGTTGCCGGGCCCTCATGCTTGAAGCATTGCGGCACGCCGCCTCTGGCGGTGGGAGGGGGACCGTATGCTCGTCCGGCGTGTAAGAATGGCTTGCGCACGGGTTTAGGGGCAGTCTAGGCTAGGACAGCATGCAGGGCGCTCGGACCTGCTCCGTTCTGATGTTTGGGATGCAAGCAACCTTCCATATCAAAATTACGAGATGTTTGATTTTGCCGAGCCACTGCCTTTAAACTGAGGCCCTCGGCCGCCTTTGGTGTAGAAAAATAAAATTTCCCCTCCTCTTCTCATCACATAAGTTAGTTTATTCCATCATAAAATAATTCTTATGACTTAGCGGACGGAAAACGCGTTCTTCAATGATGATCTCTGTCTTAGTGGACAAATAATAAATGCTGTAGTATATTGGGATGACTTGAATCAAAGGAGAAAAGCCTGTGGGCAACGTAGCAGCTCAGCCTCCACTTGTACAAGCGAAAGTCGGATCTGCAATACTATTCAAGTCTAGACTGTAGAACTACTTCAAACTGGCGCCAGGGATGATAGGTGGAAATGAAAACAAAACAAAAGAAGGTGCCCAAAAACCTTCGTACACTAGCGCTAAAGGAGATGCTCAGTAACCATTTCGATGGTTTAGGCAGAAAGACCAAGATTTGACATACCCACTATGCATTTGATTCTTTTCCATGCTGTCACCTATGCAGCAGCGCCTTTTTAAAATGAGAAGAATAGAAGAATCACCGCTGTTGAGCAATCCATGAACAAAGAGCTGGGAGGCGACGGTTCCACGATATATAGGAGCACATAGAATAATGTATAGGTGAGTCACTGAGCAGACAGTATGGGGGCTGTTTCCAGTAACGACTTTCATGAAAATTAGTGAGCAGAAAAAAAGGGATGTTGGAAATAAGCGTCGAGCTCAGGAGTGCCCTTAAAAGCTTAGCCCTAGGCTCTTCTTATCCGCATAAAGTCCGCAGTCTAAGCAAATGTAGCCCACTTCGAAGGAAATTATGGAAAGCAAGGGCTAGCACATTTGATTAAAACAATTATTATTGAGATAAAACATGCATCATATCACAATTCCATCACAGATCATAGTATTAGCTGACTAAAACGATTTTTCTCCAGTTGGTTGGGGTTTGTGGGCTGCTCTTCTCAAAATCTTCTCCACCATCTGTGTCTTGGATCTGAAATCAGTATCTGTACATAGCTGGTATGATGACAATTGCCTTTAGGTTAATTAGGATCATAGGAGAGTTTATTTCTTCGAAAAAATAGAAAGCGCTTACCAAAGGGTGGTCGTGGTGGAGGAGGAGGAGTTGGAGATAATACGGGATGTATTGGCTGAGGTGGCGGAGGAGGAGGAGGAGGAGTTACTGGATGCGGAGGTGGTACTGGCCACCATGGCTTTGGTGGCGGAGGAGGCGGAGGTGGTCGTGGATGTGGTCTATAACTCAGAGCCTCGTAATCATTAGATGGCGAAGCTGCTCTGGTTTTTCTAGGAAGAACTCGATGCAACCTTTCCGCTCTTTCTCTACTTTCACTTTCGCGGGAATGTCGTGTTTTTGAATTATGATGCGAGGCAGACCGGTCTGTTCGTACTTTGCGGCGGGATTCTTCTCGGCTATTGCTGGAGCTTCGTTTGGATATTTTCGAGGACTTTCCAACTACTTGATGAGCTTCCTTCACTTTGTCATTGGGTCCTTGTCCGGGTTTAGATTGTGGATTAGGATGAAGAGGGGGAGATGGTTTAGGTGGAGGCGGCGGAGGTGGCGCCGGACGAGTCGTAGTCGGTGGAGATGGTGGAGGCAGATGTTTTGGCGGCGGAGGAGGTGGTGGACGAGTTGTCGGTGGCGGTGGTAGCGGTGGAGGCATAACTACTTTCTGTTTAGGCTGAGGCGCACCAGAATGCATGGATCTTCGGGAAACATGATGCTCATCTTCGTTGGTTCCACCTTCTTTGCTTACTGAAAGAAATTACGAAAGAAGGAAAATTTTGGACGGAACATTCATCGTTACTATTTCAAGTACCCTAATTTCACGCGTACAAGGCGCGGGGTGGTCCTAGCTTTCATCGACCAGCCCGAACACGGCAAAGGACTTCGCAACCAAAGGAATCCCATACCGTGCTGCGTCTTGCCTGACGAATCGTGCGGCATAAGGATCGCTTCTCAAAACACGTTGGGGCGTCTGAGCAGCTCGATGAAAGCTAGGACCACCCCGCGCCTTGTACGCGTAAAATTAGGGTACATAATCCTAGAACATCCAAGGAACCACTTACCCTTGGCCTTTCCTGCAACAATTATCATTACTCCCTTTGCCTCGCCTTTGACACCTTTAGTCATTCCAAATTTCACTAGTTCTGAAATCATACATGAGAACTCAAACTGTTATCAACATCCGAAATTTTTTGACTTACGCGGCTCTGGATGTTTTAGTTTATGTGATTTTTCGGGATTGGCAGTTGCTGGAACGGTTTCACTGACAGTTAGAATACCCTGAAGTTCTTCATATCATAATTGCTTCGAAGTCATTCCTCAGTTTTCACCCCCGGCGGGATCCCGTCAATAATTTTGTCTAATTTTTTCTTATCGACGACGTATTGGCACTGCTCTGGAAGTTCTTCCCTTACAGACCGCTGTGCTCGGGGTCCCAATTCTCCAAGCACTTCGGCTGCTCTGCTCAGCGGCCTTAGTAGAGACTCCTGAAAACTCGTACGATGATTTTTGAGTAAGGCATGGTTGAAGTATAAACGTGCCATGATGATGGATCCAGAAGGCTCGCCACACTTCTTGTTTAATCTATAGGCAATACAAGCGGTCATGCAGCCGGTGGAGGTGCATACTGGAGCCACTTCCTATAACACTCAAGTACTCAAAAATATCAAAAGATTTAGCTGATTCTCCACCTCCAGTATTCGCTGATGATCCTCGGTGCCTTTGGGCACTTTATTAACACTTTCCTTCTTCGAAACCATCACTAGAGTATCTCTAAAGTGACAAAACTTATCGCACTCATGTAGCTCATTCTGCACTTCTTTCTCCAGGCATTTCACATGAGGCTCGAGCTCTAAATAAGCCTTCGCTTTTGAATAGCAACGATATGGCTACACCCTTAAACTTACCGTCTTGCCGTTCATTGCACAACTCGTCCAGTCCTTCAAATACTATGTCGAAAATAACTCCACCATAACACTCCTCACGCTCTGCCACACATATCGAAGCATTATTGTAGATCCTAAAAGTCTTAACAATCAAATCATCGCTTAAGTTTAGCAGCCAAATTACGAGCAAAGATGTTTGAAATTTTCCACGGGATTCTCGAGCGTGATGAGCTCAGCTGCTTTGGAGAACAATTCCGTCAAACAATTTTGAGCACAAGTTGATACTCTAGTGGCGTCAATTACTGTTGGTAAATCAAACTCCTCCGGTTTTTTCTTGATACTTTTACCTGAGATCGAAAACCATAAAGAAGTAGGAAGCAATAAGAAGCAAACTGCTCACCCAAGCATTCTGCAAAGGCTATGAGAAGAACTAGCCAGGTTAGGTTCATACTGAAAAAACTTTATATGCAGGAAATCAGAAAAACAACTTCTGGGAAGAGTAGGAAAACTGGCATGACAGAGAATTAACAGGGAATTGAAAGAAGCACATTATGCTTCCAAAGATTAGAAACTCTCTATAATAGGGCTCAAAGTTAAGGATTCATTCCTTCAGAAAGGGAGACAAAGCCCGGAGAACTCAATGCTGACGACTAGACCCCCATTCACAAACTGCGAATGGTCCTATCATTCCCGCTCAAATCTCCTCATTGACTAAGAAGATCAATCCTATGGTAATAAGGTAAGTCAAACATTCTTGTGTTTTTCCTCCATTACACGACAGAGATGGAAAAAAACTGAGTAATTCATCTACTTTGTAATCTTTCCCATCAGACATCTGAATACTACCTAACTGCGATATTCATGAAGGGATTGAGTGTCACTGTTGCAAATAGAAATTCTCCGAAACTGAAGAGTTGAATTCTTGAACAAACCGAAAAACCTCCGTGCTGAATATTATGAATGTTTTAGAGTCTCAGTTACGTTGTTGAGTCCGCTTCTATTAGGACTTTGAGAATATTATAGTTATTTGGATTGTATCAGGGGTTTTCGCCCTTATTTTTTCACTGTTTACGAAACATAGCTTTCTTCAGCTGAGATTCTCAATTGATATCTCTTAATCCTTCCGATGAAGCAGAAATAATAAAATTTCAGAAGAAGTTGATCTCTTGACAAATTGACCTATCAAAAATCAACTATCAAGGGCGGGAATACCCAACCCTGCGACCGGAGTTCACTTAGCATTGTTACAGTTCAATGTAACCATAATCTCTCTCTCTTGGAATCAATCTGATCCTCTATCACTTCACCCCTTCAAAAAATTATAAAAGTATAGAAGAAAGACAGTGTTGATTTTTCCAGGCATGAAGGTACTAATACTAACCCTCCTTATCTCTTCGCTGATTATCTCCCCAGGTATGTTTTTAGAGAGAGAGAGAGCACAGCCAGTCCTAACTCCATTCCTTTTCCAGAGGCTGAAGAGTTCGATTTCGACCTTCCACTTGTTCTTGACGCCACTGGAGTGCCAGAATGTATACAAGCATGTCTATCGGACCTTTTTGATAGCGCTGTAAAATTGCTCAGTTTACGTAATCCCGTTGAACGATTTAGCGATCTATGCAAGTGAGCTTGTAAAGAAATTTGTAGAACGGAAGGCGTTTAGTCTTTAGCTTCGGAAGGATCTAGAAACATACATTTTGGATATTCGACGTTTAGAATTTTTTTTCTAGAAAATACGACAACGCATCACTGTGTATTGCCAAACAAGATTTCTGCACCCATTCAACAATTTTTGAGATGGCGCTGAGTGGTCTTGATGAGGTCTGCACTGAACGGGCAGAAGGTGAAGATTTTCCTTTTTCAACTTTTTGATTATAAGCGCACTAAAAAAGCTGAAAAAGACACCACATTTATTACAATACGTTCCACCCGTGGGTCCATGAAGCTTTAGTCAGAGAACCATTCGACCCAATGATTTTTCGTAACTTTGACTCGGCAGTATATGGTATGGCCTAAAATGGCAGCAAACGAGATTGGCGCGGTCTCGAATATTTCAAGTTGATAATAAATGCGTATTGTTGAGATAATAAGAAATAGGATCAGTACTAGAGTCTCTGGTACTAATAAGCTTAATTCTTGGCCGGTATGGTGTACTCCAGTTTTAGACATTGCGGAACACAAAGACTGTCTCAAAACCGAGTTGGAGCCAGTACTGAAGGAATGTGACAGCCAGTGCCATCTTACCAAGGTCTTGATCATGCTGTCAGGAAAAGGTAACCCCGAAGGATTGAAAAAGTTCCAGGAAGACCATCAAGCTCTACAAAAGGTACGCTATAAAATCGAGTAGCGGTCATTCTTCCTCTATAAATGGTTTTTTCAGGATATTGCTTCCATATGTGTTTCTTTCGGCTGCATGTCATCTTGCCTGGCTAAGGAGCTGAACATGTACTGTCCCCCGGCTGGAACTACCATAGTGGTTCGTAATTCTGGTCGTAAATATCCTGCTTGATCCATGACAACATACATTTACGATTTGGGAATTTCAGAAAGCCTTGCTGAAGCCATTCTTCACCTTCTCCAATATTTTCGAGGAGATCGGCCCACGTGCAAAACTCTCCATTTACCGACAAGTTCCAACTGAATGCTATTATCTTGTAGATTATCAAGAAGTGAAAGGAATCACCCTAGGAAAAGTTCCAAAACAAGTTAGGAAGATCTGTATAGAGAAAGGCGGTAAGATGATTGGGATAATATAGGAACTGTCGAAAAACCCGGAAGAAGCCGTCCTGAAGGAAGTCATCCGAAAGGCAGAAATGAAAAAGAAGATGAAGGCCGAACTGGAAAAGCAATTCCTTATGGATGCTGGTTAGTTCATGCGCATAACTTTTCAACTCTATAATCTTGCATATGGTATCTTCGACATTATTTCAGGATTCTGAAAGCTTCACTGAGTTCGCTAGAATTCCATTCAAACAATGTCAAGACGATCTCTTGTTTATTCAAGCTAAACCTTCATGCCTCTACTGGTAGTCAGGATCTCAAGCATTCGTTCTTCAACGCCTAGTCTTTACACTTCTCGTACCTGCATGTGAACAGATTTTGAAGCTTTCATTATTACGAATGTGCCTGTAAAAAAAAATAAATTTACTGATTACGATCCGGTACGCCTTTGAAAAAAAATGATAGGCAGGTTAAGCGCGCACATTATTTAATTCAGACGTTGAATGCTGGTGATTTGCAAAATTTGTGCGCTTCGTCGGGCTATATCCTAATTTTTCCTATAAGGTGATAACGACTTAATGTTTACTTACTCAGAGGAACTTCTTACTTTTTCTTGTGTGTTGTGTTATTCCCCGTTAATTTTTGAAATTCTCATTCAATAGGCCAATATACAACGAGAACGGAAAGTGTCTCCGAAATTCTCGGACCCTTGTACCCCTTCAAAAATTTTTTTCTAGTGAAATAAGGAATAGCAAAACTTTTGAACAGAGGATATTCCGACATATTTTTGAGACACATTTTTCGGAAGCTTTCAGCCATGAGTTATAATAAAAAGAAGAAGCAGGCGGATACGCTTCATAAAAAATTCTAAAAAGCAAATTTGGCTTACAAAGAGATCATAAGATTATAGACATCATCTAACATTAGTTGCTCGCATAATCTTGCAACTCATGTAGACCACTTACAAAGGTTCAACCATATACAGCTTAACTTGGAAAACTGATTTTGCCTACTTAAGAATATTCATTATGTTTTGAGAATATTCATTATGTTTTATGGAAGGGAGAAACAAAAAACATGGTACATATTATAACAAAGATACCTAGTTGAGAAACCGAAGCGAAAGTTTTAGGGTTACTTAATATGCACATCTAAAAAATGGAAATTCTAATTTGTGGTTGCAGAAAGGAAAGAGTATGAATTCGTTTCCATTAGGCACATATGGAACTAATTAGCTTCATCCCCTTACACACGACGTAAAAACTTCCCATTTGAAAATATGATACAATATAATATCTCTAAAATGACGCGCAAGTAACACAATTCCAGAATTCGAATAAAAGCAATGAATCTTCTTGATAGCATCTGAGCGTCCTTTGACTAGTTATCGGCTGACATGAGTGCTACCGTGCAAGAGTTTGATTTTTTTTGAACGGAATCAGCTTTGCTTTATTGCTTTAATCGGAAATTTTTGTTCTAGTATCAAAGAACTTTTCATTTGCACATACATATTTGTACATCACGAATGCACTCCGCAAAAAAATCAACAACTGGCAAACGAAAGGCAGTGAGCGTCACGTGCTCCCGTGAGCCGGCTTCCAGGCAGATCGTTGTGGACGGAATGAGAAGAAAGTTCAGTGGTAGCCGTCAAGTTCGGCTAACCGAGCGAGCACTGCGTCGGCAGGGATTTGCCAAAACGTCAGAATGAGTAGTCACCAAGGCTGCTCTAGAGTTGCCCGTGCCAGCGTCGTGCCAGCGCCACGCTTGAACGTCGATCGATCATGTAAGTTGCTTCCACCAGGTGGTAACCAACTTAATTCCGCTGGCACGTACATCATGCTTCTGCTCAAACGTTATGGTCTCGCACTTGCGCGATGGAGGGCCCACTTTCGCATAGTACTGAACTCCTACATTGTCCGCACTGGGACCCATCCAAAGTGTAACGGTCACGGCGCAGCCGCGGAGTCTAAGACATTCGCGGTTAAGTCCCGCCGGTGAAAGAGTTGTGTCCCGACGGAATGACTGCTGGACTCAAGTAAAATGCTTTGCGAAAAAACCGGAACTCCTGCACTTCGTTCGGTATAATACTACGCGATACGCGCCCTTGTCCCGAAATGTTTTCCACCGAGACCAGAAGCTCCTGCGGGAGTCCCGCTCATATACAAAAATCAATTAAAGCCACCGTACAGCAGCTTCGGAAACCAAACCGAGTTCAAGATTGAATAACGACAAGATCCTACCAAAGGTTGTCCGTCAGACAACATATTGATAGTGTTCTTGCCTGTAAGATTGGTAACACATCCAAAGTTGTGAACATTTAGGGTAGTCTGGCTTTTTGGATTTTTGGAGGTTTTTTGGGATAAATGCGGCGAAGTGGGTCCCTAGATGCAAATAGGACGCGCATTGAGACGGCAAGCACACTCACTATAGTATATAATATGTATCCGGGCTTTGCCAAGTCACAATGGCTGGGTAGGCGAAATGGATACACGGGCGAGGCCAGAATTACCAAAGAAAAATCCCTTCTTCCGAAGCGCTTTTCTTGCACTCGGATAATCGCCGGGGGGCAGGCGACCATGCGATTTATGGGCGGGCGGCACCGGAAAGATAGTTCGCTGATTTCTTGCGGTCCGCTTGCAGATATTTGAAAGAATTTGGGCGGAAGTTTGGACGAATGCTCAAAGAACAGTCGGGGTTTCCTTTTAGATTAGCTGCGGCGCAATGGCCGCATTCTTGCGGACTTTTCCGAGAATAGCCAAATTTTTCGAGGCCGCACGGTTCTTTGTGGAGGACCGCGCAGCCCCCAGGTACTTTCCGCTGAGAGAAAGTACCTCAAACTTGAGTAATCAAACCAACGGTGACACCTCTGCTACACAGAGTCTTACCAGTGCTCGGCGTATGCCCGAAAAGGTTTAAAAAGAGTCCGAGCGCTTGCTGAAAGTTTGGCCAGCGCTTGCTGAAAGAAAATATTCGCCGAGAGCTTGCAGATAATGCTGTATTGCTGCCCGCTGGCAGAATATGCGACCGTAAAGGAAGTGCCGCCAGCTAAAGGTTGGCCACGCCCCAAAATTCTGTTGACCCCTTGCAGAAAAGCGCGAGTTTGCGGACCGCCTGCCCCCGACGATTATCTGAGCAGATGCACCGCCCCATTGTTGTATAGCAATAGAACCTGTGCTGATTTTGTCGGCACTTTCTCACAACCGTGCCCTTACACCAGCCAAAGTATCGTAATGGCCTTATTATTGTGATTTAAGCCGCACTCGAGATTAACAACAACTATTTGTTGGCTGACGTTTCGGCAGATCGCCTTCTGTAAGACCTGAATGGACAAAACGATTCGCAACCTTTTCGATCAAATGTCTCTGCAGCTCCACAAGCAAAGTTCTAAGACAATGCCTGATCGCTGTGTAGGCCGCCAAACCAAACACTTACCTTTTTGAAAACGCCGATAGCATATAGGTGCCTGAGCGAGCGCTACTAACTGATCATATGTGCCAAGCTATTTATACCCTCCCCTGGGTCAAAAGAGGTGACCCAAGTAAGGAGCGAGTTCACAAGTGATTGCGAGGCACTCATCTTTGCGATTCATTTGTGGACTTTTTGCGTGAATCCAAAAGGCTTCCAGACATTTGATAGATAGTGATATGGATTCATGCGCCAAGGTCTTTACTGAAACTTCAAAGTTTTCTCCAGCGTGCTTCAGCAGCTTGTGAGTGCCTAGAGGTGTGGTTGTGCGTGATCTAGCTCTACCGTCCAAATGCTCTGTGATACGAACGCATAGGAGGCGCGCCGTTTCAACGATGTGCGTGTTGCCGCAGGCTGCGCAAACGGCAGAACGCAGTGCTTACTTCGTCGGAGATATAAGGAAAGCTGAAAGAGATCTTGTCAACTACACTAGGTCCGTCTGCCTGGGGATGATGTTTTTCACGCCGCCCTGTCCTTCTAGCTGGTATTCGTAGCCATTAGAAGCCGCTATTCTACGAGCCAACGCAAGCGATTCCGTCCTTTCCTGCTCTCCACTGCAAACTCGAGAAGCTGTACGAAACATGCTTTTGACAACAGCTCTTTTCATATGTGTGGGGTGCACCGAGCGGAAGTGCAGAAGGATGTTTTTGTTACTTGGTTGACGGTACCATTTTGTTATGTGCACACTTGAAGCGATATTAACTTGCACAATCAAAAATGGTAAACACTCTTCATTGGGCTTCTCCCTTGTGAGTTTGATGATAAAGACAGCTCGTTCAGAATCTTGAAACAACTGTCAACCTCTGCCCGAGTCAAGCAGATTATGAAATAGTCGCAATGTATCTGCAATATAGCAGCGGATGGCATTCTAGAACTGGCGCTTCAATTTCCCATGGAAGCTATTGCAAGTGCAGGAGCTAACCTTTGTCCCATGGTCAATTCTCTAATTTGCGCAAAGTATTAGGTTGTCCGGAAATTAATGCAGGTTTTGATTTCCAACCGCAATAAGTCATACATTGCTAATTTTTGCATAGGTTGCAAGGTACCGTTCGATAGAGCAAGGCAAGCTCTACAAGATGGCTATCTTGCTTTGGCAACAGCTCTAATCCACCATGAGTTTCGAGCCAAAAACTAAAAAGTTTCAACTGCCCGAAAAATTTAGAAAAATCGTAACTCAGTTCGTAAAAATCCTACAAAAAATCTAACTCGCTCACGTAAACACAATCCACATAAGGCATCTATATACGCCGTTGCCGTATTTTTTTCTCTGTTAGAAATCAAGAAAACGGAAATTTTCGTCCATTTTCTAAAGTGGTGCTGCGCCGTTCGCACATATGTAGTTGTATACTACAAACCTTTAGAAGTACAAACATAAATTTTCAGCTCTCTACAAGCTTTAGTTCTCGAAAAATATCGAATACAGTTTTTCCTAGTCATGTGGTCCAAGCTAAAATTCAAATTTCTCGCGAACTAAAGCTTGTAGAGAGCTGAAAATTTACGTTTGTACTTCTAAAGGTTTGTAGTATACAACTACATGTGTGCGAACGGCGCAGCACCACTTTAGCAAATGGACGAAAATTTCCGTTTTCTTGATTTCTAACAGAGAAAAAAATACGGCAACGGCGTATATAGATGCCTTATGTGGATAGTGTTTACGTGAGCGAGTTAGATTTTTTGTAGGATTTTTACGAACTGAGTTACGATTTTTCTCAATTTTTCGGGCAGTTGAAATTTTTTAGTTTTTGGCTCGAAACTCATGGTGGATTAAAGCTGTTGCCAAAGCAAGATAGCCATCTTGTAGAGCTTGCCTTGCTCTATCGAACGGTACCTTGCAACCTATGCAAAAATTAGAAATGTATGACTTATTGCAGTTGGAAATCAAAACCTGCATTAATTTCCGGACAACCT